GATATGTGCTAATCACTGGAAAACAATGAAAACCAATACATACGATCACTGATTGATCATAAAAAATTACGAGTACCCATTACAGACGCAGATCAAATTAATCCGATTTACAAACTTGCGAAGAAAGAAACAATATTTTGAGCGCATCGTAAATCGCCGACGTATTAGTCTAATACATCGGTACTTTACGCAGCACCCGAACTATCCCGAGCGGCTAATGTGTCGGCGAATTCCGAATATGCTACCCGGCATTTCATCAGCCGACTATTTTTGTTAAACTAAAAATAAGTTTGGGTACCTAGGTCGACTCAGCCTTAAATGAGTACTTGGGATTCACAATCCTGAGGTAATAATAGGCGGTTGAAGCGTAGTGCTAGCCACATTACCTTCCTTGTATACCGAACGGCTCTAGTATAGCAAGCTGTACCTTGCTACTCCCAAGGCATTAAACGCTATATACGGGAGCTATTATTATATTATCAAAATTAAAAAATTGCATATTTTTGGTAATATTTAATAAATATTTTATTTATTGTCTTCTATCCCTTGGTGGGCTGGTACCCAGAGTAGAGTACTTTATTTTCTTTGACTAATGTTTCAGATTCTCTAGGCATTGTTTGACCAACTTCGAACTGATGGTTACTGAGTTGATCATTTTTAATTTAATTATTTTTATAGGAGATAGACGAAAACTAGTATCGGTGTCTGGAACCCAATTTTTATCAGAAACATGATGGTGAAAATCGCACATCGATATCTATTACCGTTTCGGAGTTATGGGGTGTTTTTCAAAAATTTGCATTTTTAACAAATCGCTATAACTTTTTTGCTATGGAAAATTTTCTATTTTTATGAAAACATTTCCAAAGCACCTTTTTACGTAGAGTTTTATGTACGGTGTCCATAGGCACTACTATCCAGAGGCACTAAATCCGGCGGGCTCGACGGCCAACGGCTGGGATCTTGGTTATCTATTCAAATATTCTTGAAATTGGCTGCAAAAATTTGCTGATAACTTCAGTGTACTGAGGTGGTGCCTCGTCTTGCCGAAAAAATATATTTTCGAGTTCCATTAGAGGCATATCATCAATAAGGGGTCCATAGTCTACTAGTTAAAAATGGCGAATTTTTAAAAATTCTATATTTCGAAGGGGACTATAACAAAATATCAAGTGTGCTATATTTTAGGACAGGTAATTTTAAGTTCTTTTCGGTTAATTAAAAATATACAGGGTGTCCTAAATAAAAAATCAGTTTTTCTGTTGATAAATCTTAAATTATTAATTTTAAAAAAAATTATACTTAAACCATTAAATTCTACGTAAAAAGGTGCTTTGGAAATGTTTTCATAAAAATAGAAAATTTTCCATAGCAAAAAAGTTACAGCGATTTGTTAAAAATGCACATCTTTGAAAAACACCCCGTAACTCCGAAACGGTAACAGATATCGCTGTTCGGTATTCACCATTATGTTTTTGATAAAAATTGAGTTCCAGACACCGATATTAGTTTTTGTCTATCTCCAATAGAAAGCGTCCCGAAAATTTCCCTTTAAAAGCGTAGATGTCTGCCTGAAGGATTGCTGGGTCCCATTCTTTATTTCATAATTTTCGCTTTTATTATAAATAAAACTAGAAGAATTGCAACAAAAAATTCAGATTAAACGGATAGCAATAACGGGTACGACAAATATTTCAAGTTCGGATTGCCTTCCAGAAAATTTTAACGTGTGTAACAACCTTAAGACCTCGACTGAGCTTATGGGTAAAGATTAAACTACGCATTTTAAAATAGTTACGTAATTGGTACGAAGCCAGGCTTAATTGAATATACATTTTGGAGACGTCATTATTATTTTTATTATTATCAATTTTACCTTGATAGACAAATTTATGCGAATTGCGTACAAGATATTTGTTAAATTGTTTGTCAAATATTTTCTAGTTTTTATTTACTTGGAATTTATATAAGTAAGTATTCTCAACAAGCAAAATTTATTGCTGGAACATTGCCAAAACTTCGCAAAGCAAGGTGTAATCATTGCTGTTTCCATTGTAGGGAGGTTTATGCCAGGTTTCAGGGTAGCTTAATCTTCCGCCAAATAACATTGCAGTGCAAGATTGCATTTCACAATATTATTGAAACGTTGCTAATGTAACGTTCAAGAAAGTACTAATTTGGGATGTATTAGCAATATTGTTAATTTTACGTCAATACAATATTGGTAAAATTATATTATTAATTATAATTAACTGACTTATTGCTAAAATAATATAGCAAAAAATAGATAATGTTTGCATTAAAAAACCATTTCATTCATCAGAGGGAAAATATAAAAATTATTTTTTAATATTTACTTATCAATTAATGAAACAGTTTTTTCTTGCGAACATTAGCAATTTTATGCAATTTTATGTTAACAATAATACATCAGTAATAGGTTATAATCAACAGAAACATTAATGGATATTAAATTGTAGACTTTCAGATAGGTATAATATACTTTTACTAATATTGTATTGACGAAAAACATAAACAATATTGATAAAAATATGTAGGTATATCTCTATATCCATTGACTTAGAAAAATTAAAAATGCTCGGTAAATATATCCCTACCAAGAAAGTCGAATTTGTCAAACAAATTGAAAAATAACAAATAAAAATTAGAAATTGATCACTTACTTGTTTCAAAAATATCAAAAATACTGTCAAGTACTGAGAACTTACTGATCTTTTCGGCTGTTCATTAAATAAGGAATCAACTCTGAGCTCCGAGTCGAATTTCTAAAAAAATCTTAAAGTTGTCTGAAATAATACAAAATATATAGGTACAGTATAAACATAATATTTCTTATTCAAAAATACAAAAGGAAAGTTTAACATTAAATGTATGTAGAAAAACTTATATTTTAATTGATTTTTTGGATCTTTCATATTTTGTCTTCGCATGTTGAATTGTTTTATTCATGGTTTCAAATTCCTGTTCGGCAAAGTTTTGAAATCTATATCCAATGATTTCTAAAGTAGTAAAAATAAAAACAATCAGTTGTAATAAATATAAAGCAATGAGAAACTTACCTCTAGTGACAGTAATCTTTGAGGCCCCTTTATGTCCTTATTTTAAAAATTTCAAATGAGTATAACATCATTAATAAAATATTATTGAGAATAATTAATACTGAATATTATTTGTGATTTTATCATTAGATTGATATACTTGTATCCTGATTTTATCTACTTCAATTTTCAGTTGGCTAAAAGCTAACCTAATACATAAAATTTAGCTTAAAGACAAACTAAACTAAACAAAATTTGTTATACTTAATCATAAAGTATTATTAAAACACGAAGAGATAAAACGCAAAAAAACAAGTACGTTAACCTAACCTAACTTCTTATACCGTATGATCGAAAAAAAAAGACCCCAGCGATGGCTATGAAAAGAAAATCGCTGTCATTTTATATGGGGAATGTCATCGATATTCATTTCCAAGCCAACTCGACGCCGTTTTTTTCGATTCTATGATATATTTGTTATGTTATTAATTAATATTAACTTGCGCGGATCTTTCATTTGAATCTTTGTTGCAATGTTGCAGAAAAAACGTTTTAATTACCATTCAAAAACAATGTTTTTGTAGCAAGGTTCATCAATCACGACACAACGTTTAGAAATTAACATTACAAAGCAAACTGTTTGGGGATTGACTGCAATGTTGCAAATGTAATGTGAGGTTTTTTGCTTGGTGGGAAACCACGCGGCAAATGCAGATTCTATGGGGAAAATGGGGAAACACCTAAACACCTCATCACTGAGTGCGCCGAGACGACAACCATTCGTGCCATAAACTTTGGTACGACTGTTATCGGAGATAGAGAACTAGCCTCTGTGAAGCCGTCTCAGATACTGGCTTTTATCAAAGCCCTGAGACTGTATGAAGAGTTGTTATAACTTAAGAAAGGGGTACACAATAGGTCTGTACTGATACTTTCTTTTAGCATCAGTACCAATCATTAATCTTAAAATCCTCTAGCACAGTATTCAGTCATTGTTGTTCGCTCCATAGATACCTACTAATAAACATGAATTTAATTTTACTATAGTTACTAGTATTAAATTCTACAATTGTGTAAAGTAAAATCAAAATAGAAATACATAATAATATGTGTATTCACATCTAAAATTACGAGTGTTCTAAGTTTTCGTACGCCATGCAGTCTAACCCACATTTTACTGGCACCATTATCCATTGTTTATGTTATAAAACAATCTGTTTGTTATTAAAATACATTACGTAATGCTCTGGGACGAGCTACCTATTCATTCTCGACCTTGATATTTGTTTATCTATATCTCGTATGTAATCTAAACTTTTCGCAGCTAAATTCCTCAATATTTTTGATGTTAAAAGTACAAAATTTGTTTATTATTATTCGCTATTAGAAAAAACAGACGTTTTTCTTATAAAATTATTCATTTTTTCTAAAGTTCTGGGTTTAAAATATTTTTTCTTGTATGTTAAAGGTTCAGTGAAAGAAGAAAATACTTATTCAAGATGCAACCTCTCATTTCAGCTCATTATATTTCCTGTAGATGCCATATTAATGAAGGGTTTGAGATAGCCTGGCTAGGCCTTAATCATAGTTTTTTATTCTACTCATGCTTCACAATATGCTCACGAGATACTTGCTCTAGAACGTCTCTTATATTACAACAGCAGTTATTATATTTTCTGTTTTTTTTTACAAGGACAGTCTATTTTTAAATAAAATTTAGAAAATTTAAAAATAAGTTGTTTAAGGTTGCTTTAATATTAAAGCGGCCTTAATTGATTAATATAACAGTATTATTGTTTGATGAGAAATACTGGTAACATCATCAATGTGTTGAATTGACTGGGAAAATGATTTTCCTTGTATATTCTTTAAAACATTTACAAATTTAGCATTTAGCAACATGTAATCATACTAATAATGTCTTTTTTTTTACTATTTTAGTGTATCAGAGAAAGAAGAAGAGTTCTACTATACCGAATTCGAAATGGGATTGACCAGTTCACCCCCAACTTTATCCCACCGTGACATGGCTCGTCCACCATACGAAGACCCAGACTACCAACGCCAACTCGTCGGAACCATGAGGCAGACTCTCTTCTCCAACCCCGCTACCATCCCCCAGAGCCCCCACAAGCTCCTCAAGCTGTCCCCCAGGCCACACAGCCCCAAACTACCCACCTCACCGCGTAGAGTACGTGGCGAGAACAAAAAATGCCGAAAAGTGTACGGTATGGAGCACAGAGAACAATGGTGCACCCAGTGCAAGTGGAAGAAAGCCTGCTCTCGCTTTGGAGATTGAACATTGTCACCCAGCATGTTTTTAAGAAGATTTTGATTAAGATAAGACTTTGTAGTAGTGCGTTGAGTATGTTATGTGTTCGTTCTCAAACTAAAGGAATGTAGAAAGAGCGTTTCAGAATAAAAATGCTCTGGATCTCAAATCACAAATCAAAGTACAAACGATAAAAGAAGACACTTTTTGACACAGAACTGTGTCTCTGTCAATGCCAGGAGGAGTTTTGAGTGCACCAAGTGAAATCAGATCATTGTTGAACATCCTTAAACGAGGAAGTTGGTGTAGGAGTATAAAATCGTGATAATTTTTGTGTTATTAGAAAATAAGATGGTCACGGGCACTCTTACACTGATGGTCTTGATGACGTTTAACGATGTTTTTCTTTTGACATAATAGGTCGTGAATGACGCAATATACTTTATCACGTCGAGCAATAGAATTGCAGGTGTTAAATGTCAAAATAAATGTTTTGTTATGGGAGCAATACGTGGCATACAACTTTGAATTGAAGAATGACTAATTTCAGTAGTAGTACTACTGGATCAACATTGAAAACATAGGAAATCCCATGCAAAATTCGAACTGTCCAGATTTTGGCTCTCCTGTTAGTTTTACAGCGATGTTGTCAACCAATGATTTTATCGTTGTCAAATGTAATTTGTTATGCTCACAAAACATCCCCCTTTAGAATTTCTACTATATGTCATGAAATGAAAGTAAAAGAAGCGCCCCCTTGAGTTTGCTCAAAAAACAATTCGAATCTTTCCGGGGATTTGGAAAACGAAAAAAACTGTCATTTTTGTTGTCGTAATTAGGAACGCTACAGTTCTTTTTTGCAGGTTTGGGTTCTCGGTCGAAAAAAGCCACTGCAATTAAATATGAATAATTAAAATAAAATGTACTTGGTAAATGATATAAAATGAATAACTTTGAGTTTTGACCGTTATTTCTTACCAACACGACAAATATAAAATCCCTCTGTCAAAAAAATTACTGATATTCTTTAAATTGAGTGCCTGAACGAATCAGATAGGTAACTCTTTTTAATTTCGTGAAATAGAAAAGGAAAATAATAAAACAAGTGACAGTTCTTCCTCTTCTTCCAAAAATCAACACGAAATGTCATAATTGTCAAAAGTAAAATGTCATCAGCTTTTGACATTTCTAAATATCAGACCACTGCCGTCTCTAATAGAACAGCCTCCGAGCGAGATTTATGACGTCACGCTAGTTAGATACTACGGATTAATAAATATGTTGTAGAATACATGGAAAACATAACTATTCCTCGTATTTTTGGTTTGTATTTTAAAATCTAAGTTTGTTTTTCAAATACAAACCAAAAATACGAGGAATAATTATGTTTTCCATGTATTCTACAACATATTTATTAATCCGTAGTATCTAACTAGTGTGACGTCATAAATCTTGCTCAGTCGATGTTCTATTAGAGACGACATTGCGTCAGCATGGCCGCAAGTTGCTAACCTAATAAAATAAACACTAAAAAAGCCCGCGGGAACTGTCAAATTCAAAGTTATTCATTTCACAGACTATAAAATAAGTACAAATACACAAGTAATGAATGAGGAATTTGCCAAACCACACACAGAATATTCACAAAACACTACGAAATAAAAATATTGACATATTTAAAAGCAATTAATGACTAGCAGCGCCTCTAGTGTTTATTCGCACAGTATAGCTTTTACTTCCAGTCATTGCCATTACAGATAATGCTCTAAGGGGGGTGTTTTGTAGTTATGCTGTCTACACTAGTACGTTATACTACCTACACGTAGTGTCCCCGAAATGTAACTATGTAATTACTATACAATTAATTGTCTAATAATCTCAGAGAATAGACCTTTCAGTAGTCAAAATAACAGCGCAGAAGACAAATTTTTAATTCTACAGTGTTTGAATCAGAACATCAAAACCTACATTGAATTATCTTTGAAAAACTCAGTTTCAATTTATATGCCATATATTGCTCTTGTAACCAAAACTGCCTGAATGATCTCATTTCAAAAAACAAGTACTCTCGCTCAGTACTTATTGCTCCAACACTGCCAAAAAAATACTAACGAAAACACTGTAAATCCAGATATGATTCAGCACCACCAATATCACGGTTCTTTTTATAAAATATACTTATAATGATTAAATGAGGAGAAAATACGTAAAAAATGTACTGAACCAAAATAAAGAATGAATCATATCGTTTACATAAAGTAAAATTCTTCCTGAGCTGTTAATAATATAAATATAAACAAATATACAAAAATGACTGGGGAATAAATATTAATTATAAAAAAATATTAATCGGGCAATCATAAAATATATATTATTATTATTTACAAAAAAGTATCCTTTGTAGTTATTGTTGCCTAAAATTAGTCGAGATTATAAATATATATCTACGAAAAAAAAAGAGAGTTTATAAAAATTTCAGAGTTATCTATTTTACGTTAAAATTTCCAGTAAATTCAAAGAATATAAATAAAAAAAATGATCTCCGTTTAGGAGTCACAATCTTGGTAGTTTCTTACTGTGAAATCAAAGATATGTGTATGAGACGATCTCAAATAATTATATATTGTCAACATCGCGCTACCTTACCTTAAAATCAAACTGGACACGTCCAGTTTGTAGTGTTTTATAAGCCATATTATCGAGAAAATTTTGTTTTTTATGTAGGTTGTACTTGTCTCAGTAAATTTTAAGATTATCAGTTGATTTTATCATATCTGTTTGTGTTTTAAGGTTAAATTTTATAAAGTTTCTAAATTTATCGAAAAAAATAACATTTTTAGAACCACTGATCAAATCAGTCACGTTTTTTTTATGCTCTTTGACCCTTTGAATAAAAATATTATGGAAGGAACATATGAAAAAAACTTAGGTTGATAATTATACCCCGCTGGCAAGCGAAACCTTGGGTCGGTTTGGGAGTGAATCGCTATGGGAATCTAGTAAGTCGGAGAGAGCAAAAATTCGGAGTACTAGTTAATAATAATAGTTAATAATATTAAAGAATGTACTACTTAATCTGACGCTAGATTCAATGCGCTTGGGAAAATACTTGCCTTGTGTCTTTATTCAGTACATCTTATTTTGCTAAGCGTGTTGACCGTACTCTTCGTACACACGAAAATCGGCACCCAAGACCTGAAATGCCAACCCTAATATGTACTTGATAATGTCACAGATTAAGTATCCTATATGTATGCAGATAAAAATCTTATCCCTTAATTCGTGGTACGAAAATTGTTTTTTATGACGATGTGCAAACGAGAAAAATTTCCTGTGCGCAAAAATAAACTCGCGTAAAATAACAATAAACAGCGTAATAGAGAGATATCGGGTAAACCGAATAACGTGCATGGACGTTAATAAGGCCAGGTGTTATTTCCTTTACATGAGGTGGTATTAACTCTCTTCATTTATAGTTATCGGGTCGAAAAGAATTCTGTTCGCGTCGCATCCGCTATTTAAACTTAACCTAACTTTGAATTCAAAACTTTTTAAAGTGTTTTGTTTATTAGATATTTTAAAACTAAAGGGCTAAAGTGCTTATTTCCAGTGCTTTATTGTTCAACGTCTGCCAGTGGGTTTAGGGCAACAAATTCTCTTAGAAGGGCTAAGTCGTCATCTGCTGTAAACCTAAGCCTCTTTATAGGTTCTTTAATATTGGAAGAGGTGGAATCCATATTTTGGGCCATACTTATTTAATTAAGCTACTTAAATATCAACTTATCTAATAAAACTAAAGTGTGTGCACAATTTTAGAGGCCATGGGGCGTGCTATGTGCGCAAACTAGTAACCTGACTAGTGCCCGATTCCGAAAATTGGAACCACGAAAAACAATAAAGAAAAAACAAAGTGTATAATCTGTATATAATATGTGCTATACGTCGATACTAGTTTTGTACCTTTTGTTAACATTGTAATACTTTTTTTATAATTAATGAATATTATACAATCTGAATGGATAGCGTTATAGTCCTTTCTTAATGTTTTTATTCAAAGCACTGAGTACTTTACACTTTGAGACTCATAATAAACATTTTAGTGCCACCGGAACAAGATAGAAACTTTGCTGGTTAAGTTTTTGATTTCAATACGAATCAATTCATAATTTTGGAATAATTATAAGAGACATGTATAGAGTTAACTGCCATTTTTAATAGTAACAATAACTATGTGCTTTCGGTGTTTATATAAATAAAATTCCAGTAACTTGATAATCTCTTCTAACTTATGTGTAGTTTTAATAACCTTATTTTTAAATCTATCGTGGCATGTATGATGTATTAATTAAAATTAGGATATAACAGTGAGCGAGAGAGTGAAACGTATCTTTTAAATTTAGTTTAATTTTTTATCAGTATGGATTTTTTCTTGATATTTTGCCACTATTATGAGTGCACTTTTTTAGTGTTGTGGTATCACGTGGTTGACAGCAATCGATATAATGTGTAAGAGACTAATCGTGTGTATATGTTCATAGAGAGTATATTTGTTGTATAATTATTAGAATATTTATGTATATTTTTGTTGATAATTTATGTTTTAAGTATGTTAAGTTTTACCTCATGACACAGTTTACCACAGATTAATTTTTATTCTGGTCAGTTAAGTCCATCCATTTTTAGCTAAAATAACAAAATAGTAAACTAAAATTTACAAATAATGCTAATCCCTATGTATTTTTTTCTCTTGTCGTTCACAATAATTAATTTTTGTTGTTTAAAATAATGTGTAGATTCTTTTGCCAGTTAACAATTATTGGTTTTAAGATATTTAGTATTTTAATTTGACATAAAAGTACATTGATTTAAATTATAAACTCTTCATTCAACAATTATAAGATCTAGTTCAACTTTTTATTTATACAGGTTGTCATAATTTTGTTGTATATGATGCACCAATGCTTTTAAAAAATTAATAAATGTTATCAATCAAACTTTTTCGAAAGTTTAGAAAAAAATATAAGCAATAAATTCTATTTTTTGATCATTAGATATTAAAATCATCGAACAATCATTTAACTCATCAAAATTTAAAGTAGCTTCCAGATTCAAGAACTTTATTTTTCTGTATCAGTATATCAATAAATATAAAACATATCTCATTTTATACTCTAAAAAAATGAGGCTTCAAGTTGCAAAACCCATCTTATCCGAAAAACGTTGTTTCAAGATAATATGCAAAGATTTTACAAAAAAAAACGTGCCCATTGAGTGGAATTATTGTTTTGTAGCTCCTTTATCTAAAAATAAAAATTAATATTTGATTTTTAGAGTGAAAAAACACAAAAATAATTTGGATAAGGCGGGTTTTGTTGCGGTATTATTCATATTGCAGTTTTTGAAGATATTTTCATGTTAACATGATTTTTTTTTGGAAATCGATAAGACCTCAGTAGTAATTTTATACTTGTATAAATAGCCTATGAAAAAATGCGGGAATTGCCACAATACTTATAATAAAAAGCAAATATATAAGTGGATATACGTTGGATGTATGAATTTTATATAGGAATAGGCGACTTTTGCATTAAACCATTTTTTTAAAGGATAAAGTTGGTTTTATAACTTGACGCCTCAAATATTTAGTTGAAAATTTGCATGTGTTACATTAATTTGCAATTAAAAACAGATGTTTTACTCTTTTTCTAGAATTCTACATATTGTGTTAAGTTATAGATCATGATCTGTCATATTTTACAAGGTTTCTTCATTCATGGAACAAAATAACGAAAAATGAGATATTTTTCTGTATTTTTGGCATACTATGCAGACTATACCTGCCAATAATCCTATATAATATGCCTAATAATCTTTAAGAATACCACCTCTGTTTCATATTGTAATATCTGTAAAAAAATCTTGTATAGCCATATCGGAATATTATTGATCATAGTAATTACGCTGAATGTTTAATTTTGTTAATTTTGTGTACATATATTACATGGTATCGTCATTACCCCGTCTTTCAGTTACATTATCAAAACAAACTAGCAAAACTGCATGATATCAGTAAACAAAATACATATTAACATATATGTATAAATTATCCAAAGAATATGAGAGATAAACTTGCTTGAAAGAATCGAGTGAGTTTATCTTTTGAAAAATTTCTCTACCTCATCTTGTTCAAAATAATGTGTAATTGTAATAATCCAAGTTTTTTAGCAAATTTCTTGTAAATAGCTGTAGCATAATAAGCCAGAAAATGTTTATTTATGTCATAGCAGTTTTCTATTGACATATAAATATACAGGGTGACGCACCTCATTCGCCTCGGTGGATTGTACGAAAACGAAAAGATGTAGAAACAAAATATTTTATGGGTACATGTAGGAAGGCAATGTGCATAATTTAAAATTATTTTGAAACGTACAGGGTGTGTCAGAACTAAGATCCATACCTAAGTTATATTTTTTCTAACACCCGGTATTTTATTTTATTTTTGGATTCTTGGACACGAAATAAGGCATTTATTATAAAGGTTTAATATGTCTAAAACCATTTTTTTTGGTAAAGTTTATTTCTCTGGCTTCAAAGTCAGCACAAAAATTAACTCTGAAAAAATGTATAGGCTGTTGACAAACTTTTTTATTATAACATGCATATTTGAATATCATTAAATATCTCAAAAACCAAAGCATTTAAACGTATTAAACCCTTATAATAAATGCCTTATTTTATGCTCTAGAATCCAAAAATGAAATAAAATACCGGGTGTTCCATAAGAAAAAATATAACTTTGGTATGTATCTTAGTTCTGACACACCCTGTACATTTGAAAATAATTTAAAAAAAAATTAAAATACTCTCTACATATACTCATAAAAAAATTTGTTTCTACATCTTTCCGTTTTCGTATAATCAACCGAGGCGAATGAGGAGCGCCACCCTGTATACACACCATAATTTTTCGGTTGCTTTTTTCATTACATTAGGTTTAATACTTCTTAGATAAATATAAAAGCATCATACATTTTTGAGACTACGTTTAATAAGACTTATTTTTAAAAGAAGAAATATATTATATTATGTAGAATATAGTATTTTTGTATTCAGGGTGTATATCTTTATTTCGAAATAATGACGAATTTTCAAAGATTAAAAAGCGTTCTGTAGAATTATGAAATAAAAATATATTATTTACACGCTGAATATGAATATTTTTGAATAAGATACCAAATCGTAATCGTAAAGTGTGTTTATTTAGATAATTTATTTTTTCAGAGTATTCATATACATATACTTTTCTTTATTGTATAATGTTAATTTATTGTTAAGTTTTGCATTATGTCTTATAGGTTTAAGATACATATACTTATACCTATTTTAGATGACATTACTATATTACTTATATTTTTCCCTTTTTTTTCTTGTCGGTATTACGTTTTTAATAATAAAATTATATTGTAAGTGTGTAATCATATGTATCTATATCATCGTAAAATCGACTTTTTTGAATAAAATTTATTAATAAAGCCTATATATTATCATAATGATGGAGTATTTTTTCATTAACCCTATAGTGGAGTGCTTTAAGCCCACAGTTAGCCTGGGCCAAGATGTCAAGAAAAAAAATATATAAACTTTGAGTAATTTATTTTTTAAATGCCGATACCACTGGCTTCAAAAAAATATAAAAATTAAAATCGCCGACGTACAATTGGGGTCTCTACACAAATTTAAAAAAAAAATTTCAACCAAAGTAAAAACCGCGCAAAAAGTTTTGTTAATAATAAATAACGACCATCATCACCAAAAGGTATGCTTACTTTTGCCCCCTCCCTGTTTCTAAATCCAGGAAGTTGGGTTTCTGCACAAATTTAAATAAAAATAAACAAAAAAAAATGTTTTCTAAGATTTTAGTGATAAAATTTTACTTTATGATCATAAGTATTATTAAACAAGTAAAACTACAAACTAACAATTAAGGAAGTACAATTAATAACTTTAACACACACTGAATTTAGTCTAAAACGGAAGAAAACAATTTAGTACTAGCTATAAGTAAATAAATAAATTTTAAACATGGTTACTGTTGTAGGAAGCAACACTCCTAAGGAGATTTTTTTGACCAATTTGTCTGCCTGGCCAGGTGAAAATACCATTTGTTTAAAAAACGTGAACTTACTGATGATTTCCATTTAAAACTGAGCATAGATAGTGGAAGTGGATCTTTAAAAATTTGTCTGTCTTTATGTTGTTACGAAAATCCCGAAATAAAACAAGAAAAACATAAAAGTACCGGAATAAACAAACGCATGGGTAAAAAAATGGGTAATATCTTTTCTTTTCGTTTTAACAAATGTGGTCCCAAATAAAACTTCCTATTATTTGTTCTAAACTATACCAGATAGTTAGGATTTCAATATTATTTTTGTATTACAGTCCAGTTAACCTAATTGTCCCATTCCCATGGAATGCCCCATATACAAATGCATACATACAAGATGGCTCTGTTTTCCGGAAAAGCTCTGTATCAGGATTCCTATTTGAGATTTTCACTCCAAACCTTTTACAAAATATATGTTTAATGGTAGTTCACATTTCAAAAATATTTTTATAGATATACAGGGTGAGTCAAATATATATCATTTATTTATTCGAGTTTAGTGAATTTGCTATAAAATTCTGGTTCCAAAAATACCTTAATACTATAGAGTATATTAAATGGTCTTTGAATTATGACCACGTCAATATAGACGTCCAGGAACCTTCGTATGAGAACTTCAAATTGAGACGATCGACTTATTGTAAGTTTATCACTAAGAAACCGCCGTTTGCCAGCTTTTCAACATATTAACTAACGGACTACAAGAAGAAGATTAAATGAAGCAAATATTATGTGAAGAAGGCCTGCTTCGGAACCAGAACTTACTAGATGTGTTGTTTTGGCTCAAAAGCAAAGGCATGGTCTTAATGTAAAAATTAGGAAAAATGTTAGTGCCTTCTTTAAAACCGAATATTTCCAACAAAAATAAAGCTAATGAGATGAACCAAAAAACAAAGCATCGAGAAAGAATGTATCTAGATGATAAAATAATTTTTAAATTTCTTGCTGTTTTAACATATTTCAGAGGGTGTTTCAAACTTTTATCAAAAATATCAACATTTTGTTTTCCCTCGTATAATTAACAGATGGGGAGTTTCATTTTTAATTTAGAAAAAGATACTAAGAAGTCAAATAATTTGGCAACACACTGCTTAAAAAATCATCAAAATCGGCCCATTAAAATAAAATATATTCACCTTTAAAATACATCAAAGTTTTAAGGTGCCCATTTTTCGTGCCGGTTAATATATTTCAAAAACTATACATTTTAGTCATATACATTTCTAATGAAACAAACCTTTATTTTGCACTAGAATCCAAAAATAATTTAATACATAGGGTGTTCTATTACAAAAAACAACTTTGATGTGTAACTTTTTTTAGGGACACCCTGTAGAACTCGACATAATTTTAGAAAATACTTTAAATTGACTTACATAAGCTCAGAAAATTTCACTTCAATACAAACCTTTGTTCTCTTTGCAAAAACCGCGTCGTATATGACGCGCCACCCTGTATAATTCGATTTCAATCAAAATTTCAATGATCAGAATATAAGCAGAATAGGTATAGCTTATGCATTAGATTTATTTATTTCAATAAATTTACTTAGAAAAAGAATTAAAAAAATCAAAATATTAAGAAGGAAATAATTAAGAATTTACTAAAATTACTAAAATAAAAAATTAAAAGCAACGAAAAAAATGGGTAAACATTTTAGTATTTTATCTGTAAAACACAATGCAGAAGGTTTCACATTAATACATTGACAGTAATTGAATTCTGAGGTAAAAGTCTCTGGGCACTCCACTATACTATGCAAATCATCAAACAATACTACTAACTTCTCTAAGTTTACTTATTTTTCTGAGATTCTATCGAAAGATGCGTACAATTTATTATCTTATGCCGCGGTATCCACACCAATCATACAAAATAACGACAAGACAAAAATATTCATGTTTTACGAGAAAACTGCGACAAATTCAATACATCTCTGCGACATTTTCGTCTCATTTTTGTTTAGTGTCAAAATTCGGAGACTTTGGTACCGGAGATGGAGAACTGATCTCTGTAAAACCCTTAGGTAAAACCGTCTTAGACATACATATTTATTTATAGAAGTTTAAAATTCACTGTGTCGACCATAGGTGTCGACTTTGGTGTCGACTTTCATTTTTATTAAACCACAGATTAAACATTACATAGTTGCCAAATTAGATTATGACAAATTCCAAATTTACTATACACCCACTATACACCTAAATATAAACATAGCTCAATCACTCGTTAATCAATAGATACGCTATTTACAAAATAATTTAAATTTTATCCATTTTGCAAGACAGTTGGAACATCGAATTATAATTTATTATCTTATTTTTAACACAATTTGGCAACAAACTCTGACTCCCACTTTAAAATTAGAAATATTTCGCCATTTCAATAATTTCAGTAGGTAGCGATTTTTTTTCTCACAATATTGAAAGTTTTATTCATTTATTTTATGTTAGATTTTAAAGATTAAACAAAAAAATGGCTGATTGTGATTGCGGGGATTGTGACTGCTGCTGTGACTGTTGTGACTGTGATAATTGTTGTGACGGACTTTGTGAACTGTCACTGTATGCTTGTTTTCTTCATTGCCTTGAAGGTATGTATTTTTTTATTTAAATCACAGTATATATTTAAATTTTTCCAGGATGCTGTGACGCTTTATGTCCAGATAATTGTTGCTCAAATAATTCGGAACCTAGAAAGAAAATTAATAATAATTCAGATGTAACACAAGCTCTTAAAAATGAAGAATCCAGGCCAGTAACAATGCAACCACTTAGTTGTAATAAAGCTCAAGATAAAGAAAAACAGAATTTTGAAGAGACTGATGTCAAAGAAGAACTAGACAAATCTAAATTCCATACTAAAGATGGAAATTTGACAGAAAACCATACTGAAACATACAATAAAAATCATGAATAAAAATAATTAATATTACTTTAGAGTCTTATTTAAAATATGCGTTTTTTGATCCCTTCTATGATTTATAGTCAAACAAATCGCCCTCTGTGTATCCTATATCCTAGGTCATTTTGTATATGATAACGAAATCACTATTTTGTGTACGTACCAAAAATAAATAAATATTTATACCATAAATATATATAATATATGCTGCAGTAACAGGAACTGTTTTTTTATATGTTTAATGTTTACATGAGTAAAATATTGTTACTAACATTATTCTAATATCAGCTATCGAAACTATCAGCTATCAGTTATAAAATAATAAAATTGTAATAAGTGACATAGACTGTGATTCATCTGTTATTGCAGTGGAACAGGTGATGACATAATTATGATTGTGGTGAACGTAATGGATGCAGAGATGATTACTGTGAATGCCACTGCTCTTTTTATACATATTTACTAAATTGCTATTCAGGTAGGAATTACAGAATCTATATTTAGTAACTATTATTATAAATGCTTAATACAATTCTTTCCGTTTTAGAACTTAAGTTTTGCTTCAATATTTAAAAATTTTAGAAAGGCGGTATTTACATACTTTCTTAGTCCCAGGCAACTAGTAATACAGAATAATTAATGTGAATTGTATTACTTTATTTCTACTAGAGTAAAGCTACTGAACGGGTCATACATTTACATAGGGACTATATTAAATAAATTTATAGTAAGGTTTACTTAGATATATTTAGTTCATATTATCACAGAAACATAAATATTATTTATCATGGTTATTATTTATACAATGATGTTTAACTAGTTGCCTAAAATTTTCAAAATATTTAACAGAAAAACCACCTGTTGGTGAAAAACTTCAAATTCCTGTAATTCCTTGACAGTTAAAAAAGGTTTGTTTACATATTTTTTAAAAGATATTTAAATAATTATTTTGATAAAAACATATATGATGATGGACATTTTAGTTTAAATATTTGTTACATAGTTACATTACAATTCGTGCAATGTGTTGTTCGTTTCGTCTTGGGTTTGTGTTAAATGATGTTTTATAACTTTTTGTCATTACCTAATATAATTATCTGTTAAACATGTCTATAAATGTAACCGTTACCGGCAATCCTGTAAGTATAAAACGTGGAAAAATGGTGTGTTTCGATCCAAATAATTCCAAGAAAGAGTTTGAAAAGCGGCGCATAATGAGGTTACAGCAAGTCCGACAACAATCAAAAGAACTAGCTGAAAATGTGAGAAACAAGGTGAAAAACGAGAAGAAAAAGCAAATGGGTGAAATTGAAAGGGAAGGTATGTAATATTCTATCTAAAATATAGATAAAACGTTAAAATAATTGTGTTTAGGTAAAGAAAAATTGAAAAACTGGCAGAACCGTAAACTCTTAGAGCTACAAGACCAATACAGAAATGCCTTGGATGAAATCGGATCAGGCCACAAAAATGCTAATGAATTACTGGATGAAGAAGAAGATCTGGAAGATCAGAAATTAGAAAATGAAAGACAGGCCAGAGATCGGGGTAGAGTAGCTAAAACTAAAGATCAAATTCAGAAAAATGAAGAAAACTATCGGAAAGCCATGCCAATACAACAGAAAAAACTTGTGCGTGACATAGAAAACACCAGAGCAGCCATGGTTTCATCAATAAAGAAACAGAAAAATAATTACTGCCATAAAAAGGTCTGTATTTTGAAAAAAAAATTGTGTTTTGTGTTTAACCCATTTTTTAGGATAAGAAACCCAAAAGTTCTGCGAATATAGATATAACAATACCCGATGATTCAGACTTTAGTGAGGAATTACCTGCTACTTCACATCTTCCTGATATATTGGAGGAACAGTCTGATGAATCTGAAGGTAGTGAAGGATTTTGTGAATGTATCGAAAGTTCAGAAGAAAAATCATCTGAAATATCATCTACAGATAGTAAAGAGTGTAATAAAGGTATTTTAGATAAATGCTATGTTAAATGGTTTTTAGTAAAAGAATGGTAACAATTTGGTTCATAGTGTTATTGGTTCTTGTATTCTTTAATGTGTGATTTAACTATTTTTTCTTACTTATTATTATTTTAGAAAATAAAGAGTTGCATTCAGAGGTATCAGAAAAACCAGTACGTTTATCAAATGAAAAGAAAATTATTGAAGAACCACAGAAGACAGAAGAATCATTTTCAAAGTTTAGGTCCCTCAGGGAAAGTATCGATAGTCATAGGGAAAAGATTGAGAAATTTAGACGAAAAAACACTAGTGAGGTGTCAATGGATACAAGAATATCAGACAGAATTAAGAACAGAAAATTACTGTCTTTAGAACCAGATTTTTCAGATTTGAAACCGGATCTTTCTGCAAAAAAACGTTTTCCAAGACCAGAAGAACGATCTAAAAATGTTCAGAAAGATCCTTTAGAACTCAGCAGCGATGAATGTTTGTGTACAAAGTATTCTAGAAAGTGTTCGTGTAATGAAAAGATATCAAAGAAAATTTCTTCGATCCATAAAGATGAAACCAGTAAGTCTGATTTAGCGAAGCAGTTTCAACAAAAAATTTGTAATAATGTGATGGAACCTATAAAAGAAATTCCTTCAATGCCTGGTATAAAATTGAAAGATGTTGATTCGGCTGCTAAATCAACACATTCAAGTGCAAAAAATCAAGATGGTCAAAAAGTGCGACATTTTGATTTCCCAAATAGATTTGAAAAAGAAGTTAGTTCTTCGTTGCAATTTGAGAAGGTTACAGCTGATAGTATTGAGGTATGTATATAGAATTATTTTAATTTGTTAAATATTTTTTTTTAAATTACCAAAAAAAATGTTTAGAAGAAGTTATAGTATACACCCGAGCTTAAATAGCGAGTAAGTAAATGAAAAATTTAGTCCTCTTAGCCCTATTTTCATAATTTTTTAGCAAACTGTATATAAATCTAACAACTTTAATTGATAAACTCTGTTTTTTATAAACTTTAGTATTTGGCTTATTATACAGGGTTAATTGAAGGGTTGTTTTTTACCTTAACTTTAAAACACCCTGTGCAATAATTTCGTGGGTTACTTTTCCTAAAACTTTATTTTTTGATCAGAACCATGTCTCCCGAGCATTTTGTTTTTTGACTCATGGCGACACATGCCTTGGTTAGTTTTTGAGAGCAAAATGAACTTTGCTCTCCAACAATTTGCAATTTTTTCGACTAGGTATCATTACTTTATGATGTTATTTTTTAATATTAGGCCAGTAAGCGAGGATAAAAATAGGGCATTAAGGGTATTACCAGAGAACAAACGTATAATATAACCTTTATTATTTGAAATAGTTGAAGTTGTTGGCATTTTGAAAAAGCAATCAAAAGATAAAAAACGCTGATAAGACTCAAGGACTGTATATATTCTAAAGGACTGTTCGATCGCGTCAAATCGCCGCTGTCCTAGTCGCCGTGGAATGGTACGTCACGCGCTGACCAGCGCTCCACAGTGCGGCGGATGGTTATTCTAGCGGGACAAAATCTCAAGAGCAATGTTTGGGACTTAAAATCTAAGAACGTAGCAAATGGTCTAATATATAGCAACTATATGGTTAAATTTATTTATTTATTAACAACTTAATTTATTAATAAATAAATACAAGATAATAAAACTATGATATTATTCGTACATGACACACAAAAACCGTATTGTAAACTATTGCCAAATACATAACATTATGATATCAAAAAACTCTTTAGCACTTTTTTTTTAATTAATTTGTAATCTTGTGACGCCCTTTATAATTTATTTTAAAAAAATATATTTTATTTTGAAAATAATAAATAAGATAGATATTTTAATTTTAATTTTAACACTTGGTAATTGTAAATTCATATATAGTAAGTATCTAAGACAATTTTTTAAACTCAGTGCCTTTTGATGGAGTTGTTTTGTTTTTATACTATCCGGTTGAAATGAATCTTTTTGGGCATTCACCTGTTAAGCTTGAACTCCCTGTGACTGTGACTACCTGTGTTGGTAACTATTGGTAACTCAAAAGATCTACATCATTCAATATATCGATATTTGAAAAAAAAGTGAAAGCTTGATATCTGCAGAACAAAGGCACGAAGGATTTTAACAAATAATATACGTACAGTAGAAAAGTACATACCTTTATAATTTGGCTTTCTAATAAAATGTATAAGCACTTGTAAACATTTTGTTTTCGTATGATCTCTGCCTTGCTGAGTAGAAAACGACCAAATTTGGTTGATAAAAATGTATCGAAATACAAAGAATATTCATGCATTTTTGTATCAATTGGAATGTCTACTATTTATTCTTATCAGTATCATTTTTTGGCTTATTTCTAACCAAACGCTTTTGTCCCGCTAAATTTATCTTCCAGTGCGTTGGTCCGCGTCCGTCAAATGCAAAAATAACTGTCACTGTCTAAAATCTTTAGCGCCAACTTCAACTCGGTCAGTAGATGACCTAAAAAAAAACTGACAGTGCAGGAAGATAGGAATCGAACTATCCTTATCTCTATAGTATCCTTGGATAAGACTATCAAAATGTTGATCTAATAACAATTTGACGTTTATACTATTACGTCAAAAGCAACTTTTTTCCAAAGCCTACCATGACTTCACTGAATCATCGTTTCTTGTTCACTGTTATTAATATCTTAATTATTAGATATTAATACCTCTGGTATTATGGTATTCTGGTATTTCGTCGATTTTAAAATAAACTAACTGTTTCTATCTTATTTTTTTGTTAAAATGGGCATAATTAAGAGGGCTACTGATACCGTGTTGTAAAAATAAGGTAATCAAGGGCTTATTTTTTGGTACTTATTATAATTTTGCTAATATCTTCGGTTTGAAACGAGATATCAAAATGCGGTTTTCGCTGACTTTTTAAGCTTTTGCTACTCTTTACTATCAGCTAAAATTACATATACTATTGCATTTAATTTTTTTGAAAAAACGCGCAATGTTTGTTAAGTTGTAAGACAACGCCCCCTAGCGTCTACGTGCAAAAGCTTTTTATTATTGTTTATATGGTGCAATATAGAGTAAGAAACGCTCTTTTAAACGAGCCCTCGCTTGTTGAATTCCGATCATCCAGTCCAGAGTTATTAATATTTAAATAAAAACAGACCTAACCTTCCCCCACCACTTTATTTTGGCAGATAGGGGAAAATGGCTTTAACAAAAAATATTCAAAATTTACTGAAGATTTTGAAGCTATTACTTGTAGTACACCTTATCTAGGCAAAATTGTGTAAAAACTCCATTTTCTTATTTTTTGATGCAGTTGCGCCCCCCTAGCGGTCGTTCTACAAACTTGAAAATAATTTCCCATAGCCTCTTCAGTTATAAATATTTTTTTCTGCAGTCCCTACGGCTAATACTTTCCGAGATACAGCCGAGAGCTATTCTTAGTGGGACACCCTGTACATAACAATAATCACCAAAACCACCTCGTCCTTATGAAGAATAATATCAAAAAGTAACGAAAATTGAAAACATTGCAAAATGTTTTTGGCAAGTTCATTTTGCTCTTAAAAATTAACCAAGGCATGTGTTGACCAGTGGCGGCTCGTCAGGGTAGGCAAGGTAGGCGGCGCCTACCTTACAATTTTGGCAGAATTTGAGCGGTTTATTGCATTGCATTGTTTACTATTAATGTTGCCAATACATAAAAATACTGTTAATACACGGAAGTGTGTTTTAATAATCAATATTATTTAAATATTTGTGGTCTTGTATATTAAAATATTCACTATCGCTGGCGTACGTTAGATACAGTAAAAAAACAACTCTTCGATTAACACTGCCAAATACTAAAGTTTATAATAAACTGAATGAATTTACAAATTAAAGTTCATATATTTATATACGGTTTGCTAAGAAAATCAAGGAAATAGGTTGCGTTTTTTTGGCATCTGAGTGTAGTTTCTTCTATCAGTTTTTGGATATCTTCTTAAAAAAATATTTTTTTATCTAGGGATGTGATGTTTGATTGATTTTTTTATATTTTTTTTATTAAAATTATTTGAATTAATGTTTTGCTATTGTAAAATTACAGGTTTTACCTAATTCAGATTCGGAATTGGAATGGCGCGAAAAAATGAAGCAAAGAGACAGAGACGCGCAGATTAGGGGACGAAATGCTTTAGAAAAGGAGAAGATACAAAGAAATTATGAGGAAATGATGAAGCAATTGCCTATTCTGCAAAGAAAAGAGAACATAGCCCAAATCGGTACTGATAAGCCTGAATATCACATGTCGGATGAAAGGCTAAAAGAAAAAGAACTGCAAAGACAAATCAGACTTGAGAATGCTTATTCTAAAGCTATGCCAGAATTAAAGCCGAAAATTGTTACTATACCGAGTAGAAAGCATGAAATATTGAAGCCAGAAGAACCGTTTCAAATTTTAGATGGTATGTGTTTTTTTTGTTTACTTAAAATTAAAGTTAAAATAACTTAATTTTGGTTTTTATTTTGATTTTATTATTAATTGGAGAATTAATAGTCAAATTAGAAGATAGATATTTCTCTTTGATGTGTGTTTCAGTGTTCACACATGACATTTTTGTTTTTTCAAACATTTGCGTTTGAGAGACATTTGAGAGCGTTTGAGAGACATTTGCTTTTTTCAAAATGCCTTTATTATTTGAAATAGTTGAAGTTGTTGGCATTTTGTAAAAGCAAACAAAAGATGAAAAACGCTGATAAGACTATCAAAATGTTGATCTGATAACAATTTGACGTTTATACTATTACGTCAAAAGCAACTTTTTTCCAAAGCCTACCATGACTTCACCGAATCATCGTTTCTTGTTCACTGTTATTAATATCTTAATTATTAGATATTAATACCTCTGGTATTATGGTATTCCGGTATTTCGTCGATTTTAAAATAAACTAACTGTTTCTATCTTATTTTTTTGTTAGAATGGGCATAATTAAGAGGGTTACTGATACCGTGTTGTAAAAATAAGATAATTAAGGGCTTATTTTTTGGTATTTATTATAATTTTGCTAATATTTTTGGTTTGAAAGAAGATATCAAGATGCGGTTTTTACTGACTTTTTAAGCTTTTACTACTCTTTACTATCAGCTAAAATTACATATACTATTGCATTTATTTTTTTGACAAAACGCGCAATGTTTGTTAAATTGTAAGACAACGCCCCCTAGCGTGTACGTTCAAAAGCTTATTATTATTGTTTATATGGTACAATATAGAGTAAGAAACGCTCTTTTAAACGAGCCCGCGCTTGTTGGATTCCGATCATCCAGTCCAGAGTTATTAATATTTAAATAAAAACAGATCTAACCTTCCCCCACCACTTTATTTTAGTAGATAGGGGAAAATGGCTTTAACAAAAAATATTCAAAATTTACCGAAGATTATGAAGCTATTACTTATAGTACACCTTATCTAATTGCATGGCAAAATTGTGTAAAAACTCCATTTTCTTATTTTTTGTTGCATTTGCGCCCCCTAGCGGTCATTCTACAAACTTGAAAATAATTTCCAGCAATTTCCCATAGCCTCTTTAGTTACAAATATTTCTTTCCGCAGCCCCTACGGCTAATACTTTCCGAGATACAGCCGAGAGCTATTCTTAGTGGGACACCCTGTACATACAATTTTCTACAAATACTGAAATTTTGATATTTTTTTGACCAGATTTACTATTTTTCTAAGACCTTCGAAAAGAGTTAAAAAATTGCCAAAAGTGGTTAATTTTTAACTTTTTCGATATGTATTGGTCATGAAAATTGTCAAGCCTCAATATTTTATTACCTGGTATTTAGAACTCGTCTTTTAACACCCTTTTTATTTATTTAGGAGACGATTCTAGAGTACTAAATCTAGGCAAATGGGACATTGAATCCAAACCAAAAACAATGTTTTCCGCTGAAGAAGTCCAAGACATTATAAAAGCATTTACCGTTCAAAAACCCGAAGACAGAAGAGCCAAGTTAAAAAACTTGCTTCAAAGCCTCAAATTACAAAAAGAACAACTCCTTAAAGAAATAAAATCACTGCCAATGGACGACAGTGTGAACGCATTGATCAGCGACTTAAATTCATTTAGTGATAGCGACGAGAAACACCACAAAGTTAATAAACGAAAACACAAAGAAGTTGATGACAAAAGACGTAGACTTGACGATGAGACTGAGTTGAGCAGCGTTTCATTAGAGAAAGGTGTGAAACCTAGACACAAAGACAGGGAAGAAAGAAAGAAATCAAGAAAACAAAGACCAGAAGTGTTGATTTTGCAGAATACCAGTACGCAAACGACTCCAAAACAAGCAAAGGATAAATCAACATCGAGCAGTACTAGTGATACATCAAAAGAACTGGATATACCTGTTAAAAGAGATATTTGTAAGAAGTCTCATATGCCTTGTGACTGCAATAAAGAAAATGGTAAGGAACTTACAGAGGAATTGTGCAAGATTTTGATCAAACTTCACAACGATGAAGTTCCGGAAGTTGAAGTTGTGAGCAGTTCGCGCAGTAAAGGCGATCAATCGGACAAATCGGGTGAAGTTGAGAAGAAAACTGAGGTAAGTTTTATTTGTGAGTAATTATTTAAGAAGGTTGTAATTTATTTTTATATTGAGTAAAGATGATTTTTAAAGGTGTTGTTCAAAATTCGAAAAAAAATATTTTTTCGGCAATACAGATTGGCGCACCTCAGTTGATTTTACGAAAACGGAATAATGTAGAAACAAAACATTTTATGGGTATATGTGGGGAGGCAATGTACATGATTTAAAATTGTTTTGAAAAGTACAGGGTATGTCAGAACTAAGATCCACACCAAAATTATATTTTTTCTTATGGAACACCCGGTATTTTATTTTATATTTGGATCCGTGGACACAAAATAAGGCATTTATTATAAGTTAAATAGGTTTACAATTTTTGATTTTTGGGATGTTTAAAGATATTTGAATATGCATGCATGTTATAAATCTAAATATTATGTAATAATGTCCTTAAACCAATGTCGATTTTGACAATAGTTACTAAGTGTCACTAGAAAATTGCCATGGCGACATCAGCCCTCTTGATTGCCATTTAATTGAAAAATGGCTTTTTATTCAAAATCTGAGCAAGATAGGTATAGGATATACATATATACCCTAATATAGTTTAAAATAGCATTTGAATCTGCTTTGATTTATTTTATCTCGAATTATTTTTTCTCGAATTTCTGGAAGAGGTTTCTGGCGTCCAGAGATTTATCTCGCCAAAATTCTCATTAATTATCATTTCTCAGACGTCTTTGACGCTGTTTTTTTTCGATATTTTTTTACATGTTTAGATTTTTTTTCATTTCTATTACTTTTGTCTGCCAATATCTTTTGATTTATTTCACAGAAGGAATATAAGGAAAAATCCCCAGATAGGGCAACTAAACCTTCCAAAACCGATGATATCAAGTCATCTCCAAAAAAAGACACTAGCACTAAGAGAATCCCTCCTAAGAAACCAAAAGAAACAAGAAGCGTCGCTACAGAGACAGATAAACCAAAAAAACCTGATAAAATTCCTGAAAAATCATCCAAACATCATCAATTTAGCAAAGAATCATGGAAGGAACAATTGAGCAAAAACTCTATATCCACTTCAAGCACATCGTATTTCAGTCCGCCAGATTATTCAAGACCAAACACCACAGCTAGCACGGAGGCCAGCCTGAGATCTTTCTACAATTTACACGACAAACCCAAACAGAAAAACCTGGAAGGTTCTTCTCTGTTGAAACTGCGACAGCCACAGAAGAAATCGCTCAAAGTTGACAGCACCGATCTTCAGTTGTTGAACTACGTCAAAAGAGTTCTGAGTATGTCGAAGGCCAGCTTGGATGAGTTGGGAGTTTCCTCGAGCGAGGTTCAGACTCCCAATCAGAGCATTATCGATATTGAGTCGAATAATCCGATGGGCGCTTTGCAAAATATCGCGAAAATAATCAACATTAAAGCTACGGATCTGGAAAAAAGGTTGAATGGTTCGCCCGATGATAGCCGAGTGCCTCCGAATTCATTGATCTCGGGGTCGGAAGGATCTAACAAATCGAAAGGTTAGTATGATCACAGATTATACAGATTATAAACTTTGTTTTTTCTTTGTTGTTTTTCGTGGTTCCAATTTTCGGAATCGGGTACTAGTTAGGTTACTAGTTTGCGCACATAGCACGACCCCTTATGGCCTCTAAAATTGTGCACAGCGCCTGACCGGTACAGTTATTAGAGAGATATCGGAAAACCGAATAGCGTCATGCAGTATTTAAGCGTACCTTATCATGGTTACGATATGGGCGAGTCAATTTTTAACGCAACACCCGCTAATAACGTTACCGCCTGACGTAATTTGCGGATCAATTACACCAAGCGCTATTTCTAAATAACGTTTAAAAATTGCTTATTGCAGCCGGCGAGATCTTTTATTTTAGGTTATGTTTGAATTGTTTTGAATTATTACTTTAGTTTTATTAGGTAATTTGATATTTAAATAGCTGTGATTAGTTTTAATTAAATAAATATGGCCCAAAATATGGATTCCACCTCTTCCAAAATTAAAAACCTATAAAGAGGCTTAAGTTTACAGCAGATGACGACTTAGCCCTTCTAAGAGAATTTGTTGCCCTAAACCCACTGGCAGACGTTGAACAATAAAGCACTGGAAATAAGCACTTTAGCCCTTTAGTTTTAAAATACCTAGTAAACAAAATAATTTCAAAGTTCTCAATTCAAAGTTAGGTTAAGTCTAAATAGCGGACGCGACGCGAACAGAATTCTTTCCGATCCGATAACTATAAATGAAGAGAGTTAATACCACCTCACGTAAAGGAAATAACACCTGGCCTTATTAACGTCCATGCACGCTATTCGGTTTAGCAATATCTCTCTATTACGCTGTTTATTGTTATTTTACTCTAGTTTATTTTTGCGCACAGGAAATTTGACTCGTTTGCACATCGTCATAAAAAACAATTTTCGTACCACGAATTAGGGACAAGATTTTTATCTGTATACTTATAGGATACCTAATCTGTGATTAAACATTGCATGGTTGCCAAATTAGATTATGACAAATTCACAATTTCTTTTTTTGGATGATAATCAAACGCCAAAATGACATTGCTCGCAAATTTTGGAGTTTAATTAATCGCAAAAATTAACGGTTTGTTAGCTTTTTTCAATACATTGAAATTAATGACTTTTACATACCTATTTTTTTTATCAAAATATTGTAGGAAACAAAAACGAATTAATTATAAAACAGTTATTATTTACATCAACAGAATTCATTTCCCCAACAGCACTTAAGGGACATAAAGAGTAATGATTACCATAGTATAAGGAAACTAGTAGTTTTACTCCTTGTCAAATCCTTTGTTCTTTTTCTGTCACTTTATATGACCTTGTTCTCGCCTCCGTAGCCGACGACGTAGCTGTATAGTCGTGGTCTATTAACTAGGCAAAGTATAGACGTGGCACTAGCCATAGTTTCACAGATATGTATTTAGGAAAATGAGTTCACAATAAAATAAAAAAAAAAATGATCATCGAGTAAAAACTTGCTTGAAAACAGAATATTTTCACATTTCGTGTAGGTAATAATTCTTCTGTATCTGGAAATCTTCTGATGGGAAGAAATGCGGAAAAATATATAATGACATATTTTTATATTATTATCTATTTCAGAGATTTTCTACGACTTTTTTTTATTTAAAGCAAGTTTAATGTTCTGTAGATAACTGGATTCGGCATAAAATTATGCTATAGTACACTGTTTTTATTGAAAGCACACTGCGGTGTTGCCAATCTATTTCTTATTTACTAAAACTTTGGTTAAAAACATTATATACGAAAAGTGGTAAAAAACTAGAGTGAATATAACTTTATTAATACTTTGCTATGTTTTCTTAAACATGAAGGATATCGGAATAAATTCGTGTAGAAAAATTTACTTTATCTTATACAGGATATTTTTTATGTCGTCACCAAAATCGTAATATTTAAAAAATGTTGTATCTCATTTTTTTTAAATGCAACACCTTGTATATTATTTTTCTTTCAGATGTAGAATTAAAAGGTAAACATTTTTTGACAAGACAAGATAGACAAAGATCATATTAGGGTGCTTTGAAAAAAATTTACTGTTGAAAGAGCCATATGTAATATAATACTGCGAATATCTGCGACAACGGTAAAAATTTAGAAACACTTTAAATTAATAAAAAAAATTTCACTTTTTAATTTTGCATCTGACAGAAAAATAATATACAGAATGTCGCATTTAAAAAAGTTGAGATATACCATTTTAAATATTGCGATCTTGGTGACGCCATAAAAAATACCCAATATAGAATAATGTATATAGAATGATGTAAAATAATAAAAAAAAAAATTTTGTGATACCCTTACCTATACCTTTTGTATATAACAAAATATTTTAGGATACACCCCTTTATAAACCTTGAAACATATGAATAAAACTTTTTCACATCTTCGACAACGACGACGATATTGAACTTCCTCGCACTAATGGGCCACCCTGTATATTTACGGTGGTTTAAAGCTAGGTGTGGCACTTTTCTTCCCTCAAATATAAACTCAATATTTTGTCTATAATATTTTGAATATTGCTATATTACGACCACTTATAATAAAAAATAAATAAAAAAAAACATGAAAAAATACAGTCCACTAAATTTATAAGAGATTATGCTATTATAAAATTCTCTCAATTAAAAAATATGAATAATTTGCGGAGACTTTAGATGTACAACAAAATATTTACTCTAAAATTGTTTCAAAAACCAATTTATATAAATTATCTCGTAAATTATTATTGGAATGAAAATGTTATGGAAAATCCCCTGACCAAAACATATTTTCATGCGCATATTTGAGACAACCTGTATATCTAAAAAATTATTTTTAAAATCTGCACACATGCTAAAAAAAATAATAACATTTAATTAATTACATAATATCTCAGCTTCTAAAATAAACAAATATAATTAAATGTTAATTGATAATTACTATCAGCTTGCCGATTTACATCCGATGGAAATCTAAAAAGACTCAAAGAACAATTTTTTGAATTATTTTCACAATTAATAGCAGCGCACAGTAAGGCACTCATTTTTTGTCAATCCGTCCCTGTGCTCGGACGCAACGCTCGAACCTCACAGCTCGACGGACCGAATTCAACTGAAAGGCTTTGCAACCTGCCAGCTTGCAAAAACTGGCAGAAAATATTTGCGAGAGTGCAACTACTCTTTTCCTTAAACTATGTTATTACCTCTTTCCCGTTTAAAATATTCTAATAAGGTTTCGATGAGTTTTTGGAACGGCTGTTAGGTTAGGTCCTACAAGCGATTCAAGGTGCACTACAAGCGATTCTAAAAAGAACAATTTTCGACTGCAAGTAAACAATTTTAGGCTTAAGGTTTACAACACAATTCACTAAAACTCGTAATACAAAACTAAAGTGTCAAAACCAATCAAAATGTCAGGAAATAAATAAATGTGGTAACTTGACATTTTTTACAGAGTAACCACCTGAATCGCCAGCGGGAGATTTAAATTCCTGTTAATCGGCCCGGCGCCGAATATGTCCACGGTTGGTAGCAATGAATTTAATAATGATGGATAACGTAACTAAAAGTTTATTTGGTATTGATTATATGTATTGTGTCTAAAATTGGAGTGAAAAATTGGTGACAAAATTACGAATTTTATTGAGTTTACTTGACGTGCATTTGTCAAATATTTTGATCCCTGTAATGATGTTTTTTACCCATCTCTAATGTATCTAACTACTTTTTTTCTACAGACAAAAGCCAATACATTCCCGAAAGAGACCTACCTGACACTGAAGGAAGTGCATGTCAATTCGCCGACGTCAGTGACTCTTGTAGCAAACGCATCGCAAACTTGGCAGCGATGATCGAGAAACTTCGCCAAGAAAAGATCCAAATGCTGCGAAAATCACCGGTAATTCCACACGATTCAGATCATCGTGTCGTCACTCCAACCAGTGACAGAGATAATTCAACGAAATATTTCGATTTTCCTCATTCAGAAGAGAAATCTATTGCGAGCTCTTCAACAACTAGCATGGACGAAGAGGAGCTGAATAGGAGGCTGTTGGACATTGACATGAGTCTGGCAGAGAAGCTGAGAAAATTTCGACAGAGCAAAGACGATAAAGTTGGAGACAGTGGTGAAAAATCTGACAGATCAGGTATTACTTCATTTAAAATGTTTTTTATTATTTGAATTGATACTTAGGGATTGTCGTGAGATTTATACATATTTTTTTCTTCTTCTACTTATTTGAGATCTAGTCGATCTGTTAATTTTAAGGTTGCCTCTGTAGGAGTTCTTGGGAGATGGACTGCCAACTGTCTTTCCATCTTTTTGGAGGTCTTCCCGGCTGGTCTTATCCATGGATTTTCCTTACAAGACTATAGCCCAGTCAAATTAGAGAAATCGGCGGAAAAAAATTCCACAGTTTTGAAAATGGTTTTAAACGATTTCTCTAGAGTTGGGCTGATATGTGTCAAAAGTCCCCGAAGATAGACGATGAGGTTGAGGAGAGAGGAGGTGTTAAATGTCACTTTTATGATTTTTTAGCTTATGTCTCAGAAAATATGACACATACGAAAAAATACCCTATACAGAAAATTGTAGCTCCGGGAATTCTCTACAAAATTGGTTGAATGCATTTTTTTCATAGGTCTAACATTTTAAGTGTTACAGGGTTGACAAAATTAACTATTTCTCATATTGTATTTTCGCATTTAAAATCCAATTAAAGTCTAAATTAACAATTCATATTTTATAGTCTAAATTAACCTTTTATAATGGTAATATTAAGGGGTCCTTATGTTATCTTTCAAGTCTTTATTGCATCGTGTACTAGTGCACACAGGACTTAACAATAACTGCAAGTTAAAGACTAATGCTTTACGGTAAAAAAAAAGTATACCATAGCATTTAGCGCAGCTGCAAATATTGTAGAAAGTATACGAAAACCAAGAATCATGGTTTATGGTCCATTTTCTATCCCCGGTTTTCTATCGGAAGATTTCTATCACCGCCTGCAGTAGTAAGTGTAATATTTACATATCTGCAATACCCAATCCATTTCGCCAATATAGTATCAGTCTTCCCTCGCAGAATTCCAAAGAGTCTTAAAATCGCATATGAAAGTGTAATTTCTGAATCTTCTCAACCTACAATAATTGAATACAATAATGATATCCACATACATTACCAACATGAGTCCTCATTCTTTAAAATTGTCTATATTTCACATTATCCGTTTTAGAAAAGTAATTTGTATTCAATAAAAAAAGTTATTTGAATTTACTATTTATGAAAATGCATTGTATTGCTTACTTTTTTAATTTAGTAGGTCTTTCAAATTCTTTTTTAATATTGTACAATAGTGGATACATTATGAAATTTAAATTAAAAAAATCTATGTTATTAAAGATAAGATGCTTTAATTTTTATTATAAGACTTTTGAATTGAAGAATTTTATGAAGGTATTTCTTATTTCCGACACAAAAATTAATTCAGAAACATAATAATTCACTATTATTTTATAAATGTATTATTATTTATTTTGTTTCTTTAATAATATATTCTGTACATAATGTCGGTTTTGATTCTTTTAATTATACAAAAATATAAAGCAAAATAAATGAACAGAAAACATATAATAACAAATAATTTGCGCAGTCAAGGAGTGATTTTGCGTGAACGTAGTATCACGTCTAAAATTTATAAAATCACAGTATATACTACAAGCACAGAATATCTAGCTACGCAACAGAAGTCTCGTTACATGTATAAAATTGTAGGTAGCAAATGGAGACAGGCTTTAAAAGTCTGTCTCCAAATCAGATATTTTGATGTGGTAGTTTCGCTACTACATAATAGAGGGCAATAAATTTAAAAGAAAACAGTTTTCTACAAACAAAATTTAAAAAAATTTTGTGCAGTGTTGCCATTGTGTAATTCATATCTTAATACTTCCTGATAAAGCCTACCTTCAAATTTGCTACATCATTTAAACATATTAAAATAGATCAGAGCTGTTTTTTTCAGTTTGCCATGTTAGTTGGAATTAAATCTTATGAGCTAAACTACAATCACTTCCTGACGTTTGATTGTATAATTGAATCCTGAATTTTCATTGTAATTCGGCGACAATATAATAAGTATTGTTCTACTATTATGATACCACTTTCTGACGTTCAATTGTGTTCATACCAAGTTCATATTGTATAATCGGGAAAAAAACGGCGTTAGCGATAGCTATGAAATGAATATCACTGTCATTTTATATGTAAATTTATATGGGAAATATCATCGATCGTCCTTTTCCAGCCAACTGGACGCCGTTTTTTCAGAAGCAATCAAGTGATACCATAATATATTATGATACATGGCGTTCGATTGGGCTTAAACTTGGTATACTATATCTTCAGTGACATTGTAATATCATGGTACCATGGAGCATATAAAGTGATACCTTCTATAGTACCATATTTGATGACAGCAATATTAGGTACATGGCGGCAATAGGGCTTAAACTTGGTATACTACGTATTTTCGGTGACATTGTAATATGATGGTACTATGATGCATATCATCTGGTACCATATTATAGTACCATATTATGTACATGGCGTTCGATTGGGCTTAAATTAATTAAAGGTATTTTCTTAGTTAACATTATAAGGTAGTGTATATTAAAAATGTATATGTTTTGTAATAATATACTTAAAACTATTTTAATAGCCAAGGGAATAATTAATATAAGTGTATCTGACAAGAAAAGAAGATAGAAACACATACTGCATTATACACAATAAAAAGAATGGGATGCCAATTCAAGTCTTTTTGAATCTGGCAACTGTACATATTTAGCCGAGCTATAAGGCCGTCGACGAGCCGTCGATCCAAAACCGAAAGTTCAAAATTTCTAATTATATTCTGATTATGATATTGTCGCGCCATCTAGTATTCTATTTGTGCAATTTTAGCTCTTTCATTTCGAGTATTTTTCTGTTGCGTAGCTAGATATTCTGTGCTACAAGTTATACTTAGTACTTTAAAAAATATGGGGGGATATCGTACTTCTTCAACGCATTTTGAACGAAAAACTTGCAATGAAAAGAAATGTGTTTGTACGGATTTGGCATAAGCCATTTGATTTAGTATCCAAATTTATGAAGGGCATAGTTCGGAAACTATAAGTCCGGGAACAAAAACGTATAGAATCATTTTTATAGAGAATTTTGTCAGCTTCTTTTTATATACAGAGCATTTTTCGGTAGATGTCATAGTTTCCGAGATATAAGCAAAAGAGAGAGTGAAAAAATTGACACTTAACTCCTTACACTCCTCGAGCTCATCGTCTATCTTCGGGGACTTTTAACACATATCAGCCCAAGTCTAGCGGAATCGTTTAAAACCATTTTGAAAACTGTGGGAATTTTTTCCACCGATGGGCCTTTCTTTTAACTAATTTGACGTGTGCGAACTATTGCCTTTTTCTTTGCCTACCCCATCTCACTACATCCTGTATTCCACATTTTTGTCTGATATTTGTGTTTCTAATTTTGTCTCTTCTAATCTTCCCCATTATGGTTCTTAGGTTCTTCATTTCAACGACTCTTTTTGTTTTTTTACTCTAGGATTTCTGTGCTATATGTCCTCATTGGTCTGATGCAGATTTTATAAATTTTAATTTTGCTACCTGTTCACATGGGGGGGGGGAAACAGAAACGGCCATGTCAGCCCTGACATGGCCGTTTCTGTTTATTTGGCTTCTCAGATTTTTCTCTGGATCATGGTAGTACAACATATCTATTCCTAGGTATCTAAAGTCTGATACTTGCTCAATAATTTTGTTTTCTACTACCAGTTTGCCATCTTACCTTATATATATATTTTATCTCCCCTAATCTGGAAGACTAGTAAAGACTTTGAGATGGTTTAGATCGAAATATAATAGTTTTAGGCATTTTTTTGCTTTTTTCTTTCAGAAAAAGAACCCGATCAAGTTCAACAGGCCGACGATGAGCAAGATCATCAATTTTTACAACGTCTACAAAGGCTGATTGCAGAGAGTTATGAGAAAGATCAGTCAGACCCAGTTGAACCACCAAAATCCTCCGCCCCCTTAGAAATGACTCCTGTGCCTTTTGTACCTTTACTTCTTGACATTCCTAAATTACCAATACTCGAAGCACAGCCTGAGTGTCATTCATTATGCCAATCAAATGGATTGGGAAGGAAATATCCACCTCCATCCAAAGGATTAACTACAGCAAAGAAATTTAATGGAAATATATCGTTAATTCCTCATGAACTGTCCACTATAGTTGAGGCTGACAGTCAGATATCCACAAAAGTAAGCCCTAGCATTTCCAAAACGCAAACTTCACCAACAAATATTTCATCACAAGAAATTTTACCTTTGAAAGTTGATGATGTTCGGTTGAAATCTCCAGATGGCCATAGCAGTGAAGAACAAATAAAGAAAAGCTTCAAACCTGATAACGAAGAATTAGAACCCTTGCCTTTGAAAACCGATGATATTCAGTTAAAATCTCCAGAAAACCTGAAACCTGTTGATGAACCAAAAGAGATGGTTCCTGAATCACCTCCAAGTAAAAAACCCTCTTCCCATGTGGTATTTGACGAGAACACCTTGAAGTCATTCAAATCACTAGACGCCAGTGATTCAAACAGATCACTGGCTTGTACGGATTCGACCTGTACCAGCGCTTGTCTCTCATCAGTTTCAAGCAAAAAAACTTCGAGTTCCTCAAGTGATATGGAAAGCATTGAAGCGATGCTCAGGAGTATCGGAATGGAGTGGGCTATACCTACATTACACAAAACGCAGGAGGCTTTGGCGCTTTCGTCTAGTTCTAGTTCCAGTAATGTCGGTCAAAAGAAACGGAATAAGTCTGGATCGACCACTGCTAGTGAGGTCGATCTCAAAGAATTCCTCAAAAAGCAAATGATGAGCAAGATATCTTCGAGTAGTTTGAAGTCTGACTCGAGCCCGGCGAGTTTCATACAGGAACTGTCCGATATATCCGCTATTAATCCGAATAATTCCAGTGTAGAAAAAACAAAAAGACGGACATCTACTCCAGTATTATCTAGTAAAAGTACGAGTAAATCTAAGGACGATCATCAGCCGTTATTTACAGGAACTTCTGATATTTCGTCGGTGAGAAATACTTCCTGTGATACCTCAACATGTCAAAAGAAGGCTGAGGAAAGACATGATACATTCCATACGTTAGGTAGTGACGGTGATTTGACCGCTACAAAAAGTCCTCTTTGACAGCGTCTGTTAGTTACTTTTAGCGAAATTTACTTAATTTATTTTTAATAAAATATTCGGCTTGCTATCAATTTGACTTAGTTAATGGTGATTGTAGCTTTAAATATGTTAAATGAATGTTGATGCATGCCGAGAAATTTTATCACATTGTACTTTATAATTATTATTTTAATAAAGAATATTTTATATTATGTGTCTATCTTGCTTATTTTAAACCCTTATAAGCATAATCTAAACAAATAACATTCTAGTTATCTGCCTCTATACTGAAAATTTACAGTTTTACTTTATTATAAACTATTGAAAGACGATAAAGGAAAAATGCTGCTGTATTAGGGACTCTTTATTATAAATTTATCGATTGTTATATTTATCTTAATTAATGTAATTAAACCAAAGAATATACCTAGCTAGAAAAAGAATGGACTCTGCCATACTGAAAAATGGTCCTACAGAAGTGGCGCCATCTATTGAGTAGGGCTTGTTTTAAATGGATCGAAGCGCGGGCTTTTTAAATGAGCGTATTTATTGAATTTTACTCTAAAATAATTAAATTTGATTATTAAATTTTATTTTTTACATAAATTCAACAATACTAATAACAAGTATCGTTGTGATGTGTAAAAAATAAGATTTAACAGTATAATTTATACAATTATTAAATAAAATTCAAGCCAAACTTGTGTAAATACTATTAATTATTTAAAGTTTTTATTTATAAGTCAAATATTTAAACATCGTTTATTATAATAAAGCAAGACCAACGTAATACGCCCAAGGTTTTGTAAATGGAGTAAATATAAATAGGTACTTAAATGCTGGCAAAAATAAAAGACTTACATTATATTTTTAAGGCCACAAAAAAAAGGAATTCTAATTAAAACACATATAACAAATTATAGTTTGAAAAAAGTTTTGATCAAAATTAAACCTCAATTTTGACGTATAAATCATTCAAACCATAAAATAATAAATACAAGAAGAAGTGTCAAGTCAATGTTAAATTATGGAAACAGCGTGGCTGCCTGGGTAACTAATTTTCAGATATGGCGGCTGGGACATTTGACATGACATAGACAATGACATAGACATGACAATTTCAATTTTATGAAATTTATTTCCGTTTCCGGTTTTTAATGGCGGGCTGTTCAGGAGGTTTAAATCAGGGTTAATATACTTTTTACTCTTTCTAGTAGTAAATAATACAACAAAATTACTCAAAAATATTTATTTGGAATTTAGAACAATGTAAATATGCAAATCAACACAATTAAAGAGCTATACACACGTAAACTACTGTATCAATATCAAAATATTTAAATAACATCAGAGATGCTGTGTTAAAGTGAATTAGTAAAGTAACAGTGCACTGACTTACAGAAACATGAAGATAAATAAATGTTTTCACAGCTTCACGGGCGTAAAACTAACTAACTGGAAGCAGGAAAAGACAACAGGAACCCACGCAAAACCTGGAACCAAAAAATATGTAAAAAAACATAAATATAGGTACATAAGACTTTTGTGAATTAAATCAAACAGGTCTTGAATGAAAATAAAATGAATAAAAATATGATACATATATACTAATAATACCTCATTTGTATTTTAAAAATAATCTACAAAAAAATAATCTACATACATAGCATTATTGCTATGAAAACACATAATAGGTACCTATGTGATATGTAATTACGCATTTCTGTTCATCATGTAGGTAATTAATGTAGGCTAATAATATTTCAATAATCATAATTTACCTTGTGTAACTTGCTTTCAATTGCTCAAAATCTCCGATCAGTCTTTAAAGTAGAGATACGGAAAAATCCTTGGCAAAGAATATCCCAAGATTCTTGGATCTAAAGCTAAAAAAAATATGAAAACAGTTAATATATTACCTATTTTTACATATAATATGGCCCATACCTACTACACGCAGAAACGTCGATTTCATCATTTTCTTCATGTAATTAATATCATATATACTTTATTAAAGTGTTAACAAGGAACTTTATATCAAAAAACATCTTTGTACTTATAAATTTCAGCCGAAATATCATAAACAAACTTCCAATCAAATCTAAAAGGCAAAAATTAAAATGGCGCCCGACCTTGCCAGAGGCCTCGGGAGTTGACACATGACTGACACACAGACAAAAGAAGAGGACGTGCATAAAAATGTTCCGTAAAAGAAATTGACAGAAATCATATAGAAATATTCAGATTTTTGTCTAGGACAGTCTAGATGGCCATGCTTTCTGCCTGGGTAGGACCGCGCCAGAACTGTTTCCAATTTTCCAGTTTACTGTCACCCCCCTGATTCAAACCACGTAAAATCGAATTCGAAACGACTTTTTTCTAACCCTAATTTCTACATGGCGGGAAATTAAAAGCAGGGTTAAGGACCTGACATAATAACTCTAGTCATATGATCTCAAAATGAGTTTTTATTGGTTGTAATCTAAATTTGTTGTGAACATTTTGACGGTCACCGCGTTTTGATAAAGAAAGTACGACAAAAATTCAAAAATACCTAAAAAATTCTAGAGTTTTATTCACCCTGTATGAGTTTTATTCACCCTCACCCTTGTTTATAATATGTTTGTTCCAACCGGACGAGAGCACCGTCCTAGAACGGTAATTTCCTATCAGTCAATTCATTTGTTAATCTTGACATCTCTTGACATTTTCTGTTAATCTTGAATCTGTGGCGTGGAACGTCCGCACTCTACTGGCCAAGACAGAGGCCAAGATAAATTCAAATCGACTAGAGAGAACAGCGTTGCTGGTCTCACAGGAACTCCACCGATTAAATATAGATGTTGCCGCTCATAGCGAAACCCGCTTCGCGGATGAAGGTAGTCTCACTGAGGAGCATTACACCTTCTTTTGGAAAGGCCATCCCGCAACACACAGGAGAATTCATGGCGTATATAGGCATTGCGATCAAAAACGAAATCGCCACCAAATTAACAGAAGTACCTATTGGTGTCTCCGAATAACGTCTTATGACCCTAAGGTACCCCATATCAGACATATTGAGGATAAGGATGAATTTTACCAAGCTCTACAAAATGCCCTCCAATGAATTCCCAAGCACGAACGAATCATCTTGCTAGGTGATTTTAATGTCCGTGTTGGCAAACAACAGGAAATATGGGACCTGACGTATTGGGAAAACATGGAATGCGAAACGTAAATAGCAATGGTGAACGCTTATTAACAACATGCGCAGAGTATAATCTTTGCATCACCAATACGTGGTTCATGTTGAAGGACAAGTTTACAGGTACCTGGAAACATCCCAGATCAGGCCACTGGCATCGATTGGACCACGTAGTCGTTCGAAGGACGCATCTAAAAGATGTTAGACTCACAAAAGCCAGAATAGATGCCGAATGCGGCACTGACCACCGACTTGTAATTTTAAAAATGAAAATCCAGTTAAAACCCAAAACCCAAAAAACCCCAGGTGGACAACTGAAAAGGTACAAGGACATTTTCCACGAAAACTTAAAGAGGATTAACATGCACAATGAGTGGGAAGAAGCAGCTCACAATAGAACTGAATGGAGAAGAATTGTAAACTCAGTTAACAGAGACAACCAAAAAGTAAAGAGGCAACAAAGCAATGAGATTTTTGTATGTCCGGAGTGCGGTAAGCAGAGATAACATCACGTATCGAGCTTTTCAGTCATAGAATAGCTCATAAAAGAAAACTCCTTGCTTTACAATCTTCTGATGTGTGTCGAATACTATCGTCAGCGAGTAATGGCTGTATATGCATGTAATCTTGACAAACGATCAAACTTTTCACAAACCCAGGATCGGTTCTCGGTCTGGATGGAACGAACCTAATATATTCAAGGATAATACTGAAGTAAATAAAAGCATGAAGGTATGTTTACATATTTTTGTTTTATTTATTGTGTAGGCATTCGATATCCGTAGATACTCAAAATTGATATTTGAACCAATGCTATGTAGGTATTTAATTAAAAAATGTTTTTTTTTGTTTATATTAAGCCCTAAAGCCAGATGATACAAAAGAATAAATGTACACGTGTATGAAATTTGAGTACCTGTGAAAAATATTGTTTACTGCATATAGCGTTCTAATAAAAAGTAGATTTTATTACCGAAAAAATATATTGGTTGCTTATTTCCGCTGTTTCAATCGTATTACCTCATATGTATACAAACTTATAATGTTGACTTTGTTAGGAACAATAATACTTAAAAATCTTTATTCACATACATTTTCTTGTTTTTTATTTAATTGATTACTTGTCTAGAGTACAATAACTCTTATCTCTATAATATTTATCCAAAATACCTTATTATAATTTTAAAATATATGAGACCCATTTTTTTAATTGAAATAATGCCTAAAAATAGCTAAAGTACACATATAAACATAAATTGGATATCCTCCAAGCGAACAAAAAGAAACACGTGGCATGAAACTTTCAAAAAGTAAACAAGCGGAAGTTAAATTGCAGCAAAACTCTCCAGACTCATCTTTTTGTGGAATTTGATCCATGTCCAACGTGAAAAACAACTTCCCAACTTTCCTAAGCGTTTTTCCCAAAGGAAATCGACTGACCTACATCCCTTTTCATGAACGGGAAGTTGGCACTTGCGCCTTGCCCTCATTCAAGGGCTGGAAAATCCTTCTTCGATCTCGCCAAAGGGAAATTCGATATTATAACCTTCAACCTGCTCGCTATAGTGTATTTATTTATTTGGCGGATCAAGGTTAGAAAATGGTTTAAAACTGGGGATAGCCGACCTGGAATTTTCGTTAGGTAAGTTTTCCGTTGGGTAGTTTATTTTACCATGCTTGGCGACTTTTTTTAATTAAAAATTGGATTTTAAAAGTTTAGATTTAAACCTTAAAACATTTAAAAGACAATTAAAAATATTTCTTGTATCAAGATGTGATTATAATGTAAACGACTTCTTTAGTAAGTCGCTGTAAAAAATACATATCTATAGTGGAGGTAGTATTTTATTTCTTTTTTATTACTTATTTTATTGTGTTTTGTAATTCATTAGTGTTATTGCCTTTGTTGCATGCTGACGTTGCTCTATATATTGTTATGCAATATTATTGAACTAAATAAATCTATCTATTATCTACAGTATGGCCCCGGACTGTCTTTACAAGATGATTTTGTTTTATTATTAACATTTTGAGAAGAATTCACCCAAGTAGCATTTTCACGACTTGCGACCACATGTTTACTAAACACAACGTTGGATTAGTTACAAAAAATAGTTAGCTCCGTACCTTGGGTATTAAAATAAATGTAAACGTTGTTGTAACGTTGTGCCGACGTTGAACTAGTACTACAACAAAGTAAAAGCTTCTGCGACGTCGAATAAACGTTGTCTTGTAACATTTTTTGCTTAAGTGATCTTTAGGTGATTCGGACAACGTAGTTACAATGTTGCAAAACGTCGTCTGTTTTACTAATTCCAACGTTGTTCAGATTTCCTTATTCTTACGTTGGTAGGACGTCGAGCCATTACCTTTTTGCAACTGTATTGAACCATAACCTTAAATCTTAAATTTTCACTTCATTGTTCTGTTCAGTCAGACAGTTCAGTGCTGTTTTTGTTTTTATAAAAAAAACTTAATTAAAATGGGGCGTAAGAAAGGCACATATAAAACTAAATTTAAATATACATCGACATATTACCGATACTTTATCCACTCCCTCGTTTATTTAGAATATAGAGGGTGGCACAAGCTAGACTCTAGGATGACTAAATTAGGCAATCTTGCGACTAGTATACTACTTGTTAAGGCTGAACTGCGACTTTATTAGTCCAGTATGCGACTACTCGAACTATTCCATCTTAATCTCCAAAACAACAAAGTGAAAGCCGCCATGTTGTTGAGTAAGAAAATGTTTCGTTCCTAAAATAGCAATTCCTGCTTTTTGAATACATTAACTTGAAATATTTAACCCTAAACAACACGCAGAAACAATTTTTTTCGACTGCGAATAATTTATTCTCACTTTACTAAAAAAAATTTCAAGAAATTTTTTAAAACTTCTTTAGTTTTAAGGCCCATTAGTATTTTTCAAAGTAGAAACGATACATTTATCAATAAAGTTGTTTGCGTTTAACTTTTTTTCCTTGGGTAACGAGTTACAGAGTTGGTTAAAGTGTTTCAATAATTATGATCTTCTATGATACAGGAGGTTCAATTTAAAAAATGAGACTTTTATGTGCCACGACTTTACCACCGTCCCTGTATACTTAAATTTATTACTCGCTAATAGATATTTAAAAATTCTATAACTTTTGTATTTAACTTTTGCGGTACCTCTTATATTTTACCTAATAATCAACCTTTTCCATACATAACAGCGACCCTGTATATTAAGTATTACTGATGTTCCATTTGATCCACTAAAAATTGATTATTTAGTATATTTTGTAGACTGGCATTTACTCTGAGGCATGCCAATGGACAATCCTCTGGATAGTTTCAATGCTGAAGCATTGAGCAATAATTTGATGGGACCAGCTGTATTGGAAACAGAATGGCGACTTCGAGCGGAAAAAGAGCTGAATGAGACTCAAGAAAATTATTTAATTGAAATGCAGACATTAAAAACACTAGTGATAAGTATGTCTGTTTTTTACTACTTCCAAATAACAATAGAATAAGTTTTTTTAAATTATACTTTTGGCTTCAGATGATACAAATCTTCAAGTGCCTAATGTTGACGAATTCCTACTGAGATTTTTAAGGGCTAGGAAATTTAATAGCAAGAAAGCTTTTCAAATGGTGGGTATATACAGGGTGGTCCGAACTGTATTCCGGAAACTTTGACAGCATATTTTGCAGATAGAAATAAGTAAAAAAAATCGTATAAATGTATGTCCTAAAACGCTTAGTTTCGGAGATACAGGGTCTAGAAGTTTCATTTTTATTTCGGTTTTTTCCAAATAATTTCTGAAGTAATGTCAATATTTAGATAAAAAATTAGTATCTAAGAGTTTTTTGGCATGAGAAATTTGATTTTGATGTCAATATGACTTCTACTTGTAGAAGGCGCCACCTACATATTTAAGTGTTATAACGATTTTTAATCAAAAAGGTCTCTTGGTAAAAAACGCTATGAGCAACCGTTCTCAAGATGTTTAAAACGAAAATAGTCAATACATGTCATTATTGACAAAAATAAACATGTTGAGTAGATATCAAGAAACTTCCAGATACGAATTTTCATTCAAATATTGACGTTACCTCAGAAATTATTTGGGAAAAAATCGAAATAAAAATGAAACTTCTACACCCTGTATCTACGAAACTAAGCATTTTACGACATACATTTATACGAACTTTTGACTTATATTTATCTCCAGAATATGCTGCCGAAATTTCCGGAATACAGTTTGGACCACGCTGTATAACTAGTTTTTTTTTCAAACGTCACAAAAATACTAATTTTTCCGCCGTGATTGACAATATAAAACGTCATTTTAGCGCCTATGCATAAAAGTAAAGATAAAAGTGAAGCACTTTATGCTGCAAAAGTACGAAAAGATATTATAAAACTGACATAAAGTGTCAAATTTAACGAGTGTAACCATAGTTTTTCGATATATGATTACTTACAAGGTATTACTCTGAAATCTTTTTGAAACTTTTAAAATTGTTTAAAAAATATGTGTGACGTTTGAAAAAAAAAAGCTTGATTCGGAGTAAAATGACTTTTAGTGCCATGCCTGTAATGCCAAACGTACAGCTTCACCACAAAAAGTATTATTTTCAATCCTAATAAAACAATGTACTATTTTTAGCTTCAAAGATATTTGCTTATGAAACTAAAATGTCCTGAGTTATTTGCCTGCCCATTACCTTCTGAGTGCGAAAGGACTTTCGAACTTCAGGCTCAATATATGCTTCCCAGCAGGGATCAGTGGGGTCGCAGAGTGTATATAATGCGTGTAGGTATGTATTACAGTCAATATACATGCTTGTATTTTGCTGCTTCAATAGAATGAAAATATTAAACCTATCTTTTTACTCGAGCTACGTTAGATCTATCAATTTAATAATGTGCATGGTGTAATCCTGTTTAATTTTAATTGATTGAAATTAAAAAAAGGTTTTTAATTAATTAAGAAATGTTTACCAAATTTAAACACTAATTTTACCATAATACACCAAAACACCATACATGTAGCAAAATAAAACACTAAATCACCACAATACACCAAAACACTTTTACTTTTACACTGGACGCGTTTCGCTAACCATGTTAGCATCATCAGCAGATGATTATAAACTTCAGTTTATAATCATCTGCTGATGATATATATATATATATATAAACTTCAGTTTATAATCATCTGCTGATGATGCTAACATGGTTAGCGAAACGCGCGTCCAGTGTAAAAGTAAAAGTGTTTTGGTGTATTGTGGTGATTTAGTGTTTTTATTTTGCTGTTTAATACCAAAGGTTCCAACCCTCAACTGTAACCATACATGTATATCTCTGACTACACCTAACTGCTATTAACCAACAATTTGTTTTGTGTAGTCTGTGGTCTGTTTTTGTTTAAATGTTTTGTTTATTATTGATGTTGGGGATTTATTTTTAAATTAATGTTATTTCAAGTTTATTATAGTAATTTTCTTAGCCGCGTATGGCAGAGATCATAACCCAGTGTTGCCACAAGCTTATTTTTCATCGGGGTAGATTATCACGAGATAACGGGGTTAAATTGTTTCACAAAGTGGTAGATCTGCCCCGAATGGGGTAGCTGTGGTAACACTGCCGTTATCACTTTTCCTCTCTCTAGCTCGCGCGTCACGACCGTCTCGTGTGTCACGGCCTTGAACTTTTACCCCCAACGCGCGTAAAGAAGTTTCACTTCAAAAAAACTTTGAAGAAAATTATAATAAATCGAAAATAATAAAATAAAACATTAAAAAACGAAGAAGCATTATAGTACGAGAGCTAGCAACGTCGGGAAAACAAGTATTTTAGACGTCTGGCTCTTTGATATATCTTTTATTATGCTCCTGGAACAGCATGCGGCCCGTCTGGCTGCCGATACCCGTTGCGTTTACTACTGCGCATCCAAAGAAGGTCCTCTATTTTTTACTTAGCGCTTTAAATTCTATTATTGAATAAAAACCGAGCAAGTCTCCATTAGCTCGGCGCGTAGAGCTTTCGCCTATGACGCGAAGGTCAGTGGTTCGATACCGGCTGGGGGTGTAACTTTTTTATTTGTTTTTCGTTTATATTCTGATAGTAAAGGATTAAATATTTGCTTTTTTATCACCAAAACGGATGGCGCTTATGGGTTTATGATCCGTAGTGGGTATAAGTAGAATTTGATACTTTCATTTGTTTTGAAGGATTATTGTGGTAATTAATTATTAGGCAGGTTTAGGATGGTCTGGCTGCCGCGCCGGTAGGTTGCGTTCATTACTGCGCATCACATGTGTACAGGGTGTCCCATTTTTGTGCGTTTTTTTGGGATTTCTCGTTTATAATTTTATTTTAAAGATTTAAACATAATATATAAAAATTAGCATTTTAATGCTTTATTAAGGTAATTTCTGCCTGTCTTTCTTCAAAATATTTTTTTCAGCTGTTGTTTATTATTTTAATAATACTTTTTTTAACAGATTGTTATCTAAAAGCTACATAAGTTTATTTTCAGTTCAGTCTGTTAAGATAACGATGGAAAACAAAATTATCTGGTTAAATTAAATTAAATAAAATAATAATAATACTTTCTAAACAAGATTGATTAATGTTAATGTGTAGAAAATGCACAAATCTAGGGGTAAAATATTTAGTTACATGAAAAACTAGCAAAGTAATGTGAAAAAAAAACCGCATCATTGTATCTCCACTCATAAACGAGAAATCCCAGATATCCCAAATCCCAAAAAACGCACGAAAATGAGACACCCTGTACCCATGTGATGCGCAGTAGTGAACGCACCACCGACGCGGCAGCCAGACCATCCTAAACCTATCTAATAATTAATTACCACAATAATCCTTCAAAACAAATGAAAGTATCAAATTCTACTTATATACACTACGGATTATAAACCCATAAACGATATCCGTTCTGGTGATAAAAAGCAAATATTTAATACTTTACTATCAGAATATAAACGAAAAAAAAAATAAAAAAGTTGCAACCCCAGCCGGAATCGAACCACTGATCTTCGCTTCATTGGCAAAAGCTCTACGCGCCGAGCTAATGGAGACTTGCTCGGTTTTTATTCAATACTAGAATTTAAACCGCTAAGTAAAAAATAGAGGATCTTCTTTGGATGCGCAGTAGTGAACGCAACGTGTATCAGCAGCCAGACGGCGTGCACGCTGTTCCAGAGAGCAGAGTAAAAGATATATCAAAGAGCCAGACGTCTTAAAATACTTTCTCGAAAACGTTGCTAGCTCTTGTACTATTATTTGAAATACACCCACCCTGTACCTACGAAACAAAGCATTATCGGAGCTATATTGATATAAAAAATAAATCTTATTTTTACGTGAGAAATCTCCCCACGAAAGATGAAACATGTTTTTTGAAACACCCTGTATATTAAATTTCAGATAACTTCGATTCCTCGAAAGTCTCGATCGACGACATCTTCAGGACCAATATCCTCGCTCTGGAACAAGTGGTGCGCGAGCCCGAAACTCAAATAGCCGGCCTGGTCGTCATCCTGGACATGGCGGGTCTCTCACTCCAGCACGCCAAGTTTTTCACCCCCTACTACGCCAAACGGATGGTGGAGCTCGTGCAAGAGACCTTTCCCTTACGTTTCAAGGGCTTTCACGTTGTTAACGAGCCCTTCTACTTCGACGCCATCATGACGGTGCTCAAGCCCTTTCTCAAAGACAAAATTAAGAAGAGGGTAAGAGAATACGGTGCTTCAGTACGTTTTGTTTTGTTTTAGCGGGAACGTGTAGTCGGTTGTAGTTCTCTTGAGGCAAATTATTTTATAAAATGTTACGTTTTTTGCTTTCAAGTGGGTAAAAATTTTATACCAGTACTTTTTAAACAATCAAAATTATCATTTCTTCCAAAGCATATATTTATCTGAATTTTTTCTTTCTAGGTAGAATAAACTGTGCATTGTTTGAGAGGGGGGGTTTCTCAAGATAATCACCGCGATCTTATAGATCTATTGTGTCCTTCTTTATTAAATTATTACTCAAAAATGCAACTTTTTTAAAATTTTGATGTGTACTTCTCTAGATTAGGTGATGTCCAGATTAGTCTTAGCAGTAAAAAGGACACTTATACTTTACTTATACTTTACTTATACTTTACTTATACTTTACTTATACTTTACTTATACTTTACTTATACTTTACTTATACTTTACTTATACTTTATTTATACTTTACTTATACTTTACTTATACTTTACTTATACTTTACTTATACTTTACTCATACTTTACTTGTACTTTACTTATACTTTATTTATACTTTACTTATACTTTACTTATACTTCACTTATACTTCACTTATACTTTACTTATACTTTACTACACTTTACTTATACTTTACTTATACTTTACTTATACTTTACTTATACTTTACTTATACTTTACTTATACTTTACTTATATTTTACTAATACTTTACTAATACGTTACTTGTACTTTACTTGTACTTTACTTATACTTTACTTGTACTTTACTTGTACTGTACTTGTACTTTACTTGTACTTTACTTTACTTGTAGTTTACTTGTACTTTACTTGTACTTTACTTGTACTTTACTTTTACTTTACTTGCACTTTACTTGTACTTTACTTGTATTTTACTTGTACTTTACTTGTGCTTAATGCTTTACTTATATTTATACTTTATATTTATTTATATCTGATGTATGTTATTAATTTCTTTTTGTAGATATACCTTCATGGGAATGACATCACTGCACTCCACGCGTTTGTGTCCAGTGATATACTTCCTATGGAATATGGTGGCACTGATGGTACTTTCGATAATAAATCCTGGTACATGAATTTGTTGGCGAACGAAGGATACTTCAAAGACTTACGGAATTACGGATATAATACTGAAAACAATGAAGAAGCGAAAAAATAATGTCAGTACTAATATTTTAGTCAAACAACAAATTGCAGGGAAATAAAGAAATAATAAATAAAAATAAATATAACATAAGCTTATTCAAATTAATTTATTGGGATCTGTTAACTGAAACTTTTAATTTTTTTTGTCCTGTAATATTGATCATAATGCCTATGGGCATAATAATTTTATTTACATATATTTGGTATTTTAGTGCTGAAATATCGGTTAATAAAAATTGATAAAAATATAGTTGAAACCTGCATAGGTAGTTTTTTTAATAAAACAAATAGGTACCCGTATAATTTATTTTTGTCAGACAAATAATATTATTAAGCTTATAAATAATATAAATACTAATATATAGAAAAATTATTGTTGTAAAATCTACATGAGATTGAATGGAACAAGACATAACGAAAAACTTAATAAAAATAAAACTTATAAATTATGTTCTGATTTGAAAGTTTAAAAAAAGTATTGTTGTTGGACATATAAATGTTTAATTGTTGTTATGTGTTTATAAATAATATTAAATATGTAAAAAAATATAATCTTTTATTCCATTCCAACTAAATTTATTTTTAGGAGCCAAATGTTACAAATGAGATGTTCTTCAGAGATAGTCTTTATATTAAGTGATAAAAAAAGTTTGCAAGTATTTTTTTAACACTGAAAGTGTAAGATACTTACTAAATTATAATCTAATTAAGAATAATGGTATAAATAATATTGTTGTGTATTTTTATAATTTCCTATATTTCTAAAATAAAAACTGCATATTACTTATAAGTGTCACGAACTATGGTCACAGATGTTACCAGAGTTTTTTAAGTAGACAAATTGTCAAGTTCTGAAAATAAAGAATATTCTTCAAAGGATATTTCAGAGAAAAAATACAATATGTCAACATTTAGTAGTAAAATATTAAGCTAGCTTACTCTCTTATTTTTATTTTTTTTTCTAGTTTATTGACAATTAGTATTATATATGATACTTCATAAATTTGTTTTGTTATTGAATGTTGTATTTTGGCAATAAATTAGTAAGTTATTTTAATAAGTTATTTTTTTTATTATAAAATGCCCTGCTGACTAGGTCTAATGGTGCGACTGATTGCGAGCAATCGATTTTTTTTCTATATCTTTGTTATTTATGCTTATCCCCTTCAAGTTTTCATGGAAAATATCCTTGTACCTTTTGAGTTGTCCACCCGGTTTCCTCTTACCGTCTATACTTCTCTCTACTCTCGTAACTTGCTTCTTCAAGGACCGATACGTTTGAGATATGGTGGTACCATTTGATTCTTACCAGTTATCTAAGGTGTCTCTGTTGCAACTTGTTTACGGCACTCAGGTTTCGCTTTTATATAACATAGTGGGGATTGTTATTGCTCGGTAATATACTGTAAGTTTGGATTTTGTGCTCCAGACGTGATTGTAGAAAACCCTGTCTTTTAATTTCCAGAATGCTCTTGAGGCGCTCCTAATAATTTGCTGAATTTCAGGGTTGATATTGGCTTTTTCCGAAATCAAACTGCCGAGGTAATTGAATTCCGCTACATACTTCCGATTTATTACTACATTATCTCCGATTTTTAACCGAGGAAGTGCACATGAGTTTAGTTTTATCGATGTTCAGCTTAAGGCTCAAAGCCTCGTAGGTCCAATATTAAATACAACTGTTGGAACATGTGCAAAATCGGAACCAGTGCCGGTGCTGGCTTTGCACACGTTTCAACCGTTGTATTTAATCGTATTTGGGTAATCGTAATTCTTTAATCGTATTGTGTGTGTAAAAGCGCTCTAAGACCATACAAAGTTCCCAGCTGGATCAGCTAGTGAGTTATTAAAAAATAAAATTGGCGCCGGGAGGCGCGTATAGCCGCCCATACTAAAATATGTTAATAAAAAGTTGGTAGGCAGTTCTTTTAGTTTCAAAGTAAAGGAATTTTTCTAATTTTTTTTATCTCAAAAACTGCGACTTTGACTGATTTCGATGTTATTACAAATTTTGTTGCAAATATTATTCCTAATCTTAAATTGCAAACCGCGTTTCGCTCGCTACTGTAATTTTGGAGTTACGATTTTTTTTTTAATTTTTAACCCCCTCTCATACCCTTTACCAAACCCCCACCCCCACCAAAAACTAAACTTTGGTTAAAATCGGTTTAGCGATTTTTGAGTTATCGTGTTACAGACAGACGGACAGACAGGCAGACACCATGAAAATATTTTGTATTTAGGATTCAAATAACTGATTTTGAGTGAAATTAAAAAAACTTTTTTTGCTGATCTTAATAGCCTACCATACCTGTTGGTATGGTCGGCTAAAAATTGAGAATGGGAGAAAATAAATTCAAGAATATGATGATCTAAACTACTCTTAATTTATCAGAAGCATTATTTGTATTTACCATTTTTTTCTGGCTATTTAATTCTAGAGACGTTAACCGGTATTTACTGTCGAAAAGATTAGCTTTTATCGGTGCCATTAAATCCAGTTTGGCCGTAAAACTGAACAGTAACCGTACATTTAAAGGCCAATTTAGTCACTTATAACGACCGGTGTAATTAGAGAAAGCGCAGAACTTTACAAAGACAACTGGTAGTAAACTAGAGCCGACATAAGTTATAGAAGGAAAATAACTGACAGTAGTGCTATATTTAGCACGTCTTATTGAGCATTAATTTTTTTAAATTCGTTAATTTAAATTTTGTGATTGTTAAGTTTTTTTAGGCAAATAACCTAGAAGGACCCGAGTCTTGAATTTTAAACTTTTAGCATTTACTTTGGAGAAATTCGACCAAGACTATTCGATCAAATACTATTAGATTAAAATGACATTAATGACATAAATTAATTGACTTAAATCTATTCTTATTAAAACTAATAATTAACCTTTTAAAAGTAGATCTAATTTTTAGACGTACTATTTTAATATGTCTAAAATAGGCCTTTTGTTAAATAAATAATAAATTAATAATAAATTTTGCTAAAAAAATCAGTTTTTGATATAAGATTTAAAAACAAATTGTGAAAGATTTTTTTTAAATTCACCCTCGAGAAGGGGTGAAATAAATAATTAAAATTATTTTTTCGGAAAAACGGTAAAAACTAGAAAAAAAGTTCAAATAAAAGTTGTGGAGCTTCAAATTTCACATAGAAATAATCTCTGTACTTTTTTTTGCTCAGATCAAAATTACCCGAGATAGGGTGGAGTGACAGTAGAAATTAAAAAAAAATATATAAGTTGCTGAAAAATTCATATATTTAATAAATGTTTATTCAATTTGTTTGAAAAATTATAAATCTCAATTAAGATTTTTTTTAAATAAAGTGTTTTTTTTTCAAATTTCAGAGAAAACGGTAAGGACTTAGAAAGAGAAAGAAGTTGTGAGAGTTTTTAGCCACCCTATCTCAGTTAATTTTGATTTGAGCAAAAAAAGTAGAGACCATTTTTATGTAAAATTGTACGCTCTGCAACTTTTATTTTAACTATTTTTTCTAGTACTTACCGTTTTTATGAAATTTTGAAAACCTAATTTTATTTATTTATTTACCCCTTCTCAGAGGCAAGTTTAAAAAATCTTTTACAATTCGTTTTTAGATTTTTTAAAGTAACATATTAAAAATTGAAGTTTTTACCAAACCATGAATTACTTCTTCGTATTTTTATGGATAACATAATATTTTTGTCTATGATTGACAATTCTCTATAGAGTAACAGCATTTTAATTTAATATATTTTTTTTAGTACAAACATGCGAGTACACTGAAATGATGTTATGGTATCGTGGTCAAATTGTGTAAATTTATAAATGTGTATTACTATAAGTTTATAATTAAATTGTATAGTTATACCGGGTGTCCCAAAAATAAGTGCAAATATTTTAACTGGTAGTATGGTTGTAAACCCCAGAAACACAGAAACACGCCTATGAGATATTTTCGCAAAAAAAAAAATTTTGAAAATTCGAAATTTTTTGAAATTTTTTTAGTTTTTAGTTAAAAAACATAATTTCTTGATAATTAAATTTACAAGAAAGAAAATCCAGAAGATCCAGTGGTTCTCAAAATTTTAACAAAAAATCATTTTTTTTGGAAATTTTCAAAGTAAAATAACTCCGTTATTTTGGACTTATTTGAAAAACGATAAAGATAACATATGTTTCTTTTATCAAGATCTCCGACCCCTAAAATTTCTAGGACACTCTGTATGTATTACAATAGTTACCAAATATTTTTTAAAAAATACCTACATTATTATTACTTAGTTTACTTTTAAAAGATATAAATTTTGATTATTGTTTTGTAATAATATATTCTCTTGAGAAAAAGAGAGACAATATATGTTTCTATAAATGCAAATTTCAATTCACCACTAAAAGTCACTTTGATGCTCTCCGAGATTTCCGTGTAAAGAGTATATAATAATATATTAAGATTTAATAACAAATGTATAGTTTTGAGATTATTCCGGTATACTTGTAGTATTAATGTTTCTTGCGGAATAAATGGGCGTATCTTTTTTACGTCAACTTAGAAGCTTGATTTTTCACAGCTTCAAGGGACTGTAGATCTGAGTACATGGTTTTATTTTCAACTCAATACCTCTACGTGTTCCAGAGATAAAGGGTCGTGACAAACAGTATATATAACCTTAAAAATATCGTTTCTTTTTTCTCTTAGACCTCAACAACGATCCAAAAACCACCTCTTAACATCTTAGGACACCGGCCCAGCAAAAATAATAGCGCTCTCCAACCTCCGCCGTCGCTTCCAACCCCCAAAATTGCACCTGCGCACCCGCCCTCGGACGTGCCGCCGCTGAATCGGCTCCGGGAGCCATGCCAGTGAGCTTAGTCCGGTTTCCGGAAGCTGAACGGAGACGCTTTCGACGTAGGCGCCCGGAATCGATAACGCACGTTGAGTGGAATCGCGAGAAATATCGAAAAAATTCCGGAGTTTTATTTTCTCAATGATACCATGACTCAAGCAGGGTTGTTTCCAGATGATAATTACGTTTTTGCTTATAGAAACGTCGGTTTGAAATTAATCTAATATTATTTGAACAGGAATTAGTCGTTTCTTGGTTTTATTTGATATAGAATATTATTGGTAAATATAGTAGATTTTTCAAATAAAAACAGGCATGAATTTGATTATGAATTAACCTAATTATACGTCAAATAAAAGTTAGAATTATGCATTTTTATTATTATTTTTCATTTAGCTGATAAATATATCTTAATCAGTAGTATGAAATAATTTGAATTGTATTTTGTTTTAGAATAATAAAAACAATAAAATAACCCAAGATATTTGTTTAAAATTACGATTAAATATTATTCATTTATGAGAAAGGGTGAATGAGTATACATACATATACAAGAATATTATGTTTTAAAAAGAATTGCTATTTTGAAATAATTATCTTACAATTTTACTTGGGCAGTAAAAGTCAAAATGTGTAATGATGTAAAAATTAAATCTTATTTTTACATAAGTAAGTTTACTTATTATAAAACACCCTGTATAAGGGACTTGTTATTAGTATGAACTGGCTTAGAATTAGTTTGCCACCAAGAACAATCACAAGAAATATTGACTACTAAGTCAGTAGTTGTATACATTAGTATACAATAATTTAGTTATTAATTTTTAGTGATACATTTGTAAATTTACATAACTTTTAGCCACAAGACATCACAACATTATTTTAGTGCACTATACTAGAAAAAAATAAGTGTTGTTACTCTGTAAGGAATTGTCAATCATATACAAAAATATTATGTTATCCACGAATTCTCGAATAAGATTTAAAAATGGTTTTATATAAAATAATATATCTCTCTATCTGTTATGAATTTAAATAGAATGAGATCCTTGTTATTATTGTCATTTTATTATAATCGTATTGGTCAAATATGTCCAAAGTAAATGCAGTTATTCAATTTCATATAGAATTTAAATTACATTTAACATTATTGCAAATTCAATTTGGCAAAACGAATTGGCTAGATTGAAATGCATTTTTATTAAAATTTAATAAACTTCATGTTTCAATAAACCGTTTAATATTATTATTAAAATATTAATTAAATACTTTATGATTTTATCAAAACCAGATAATTTGAATTACAATGTTTATATAATAATATTAAAACATTAACGTTTCTTAAAACGACTCGCATGCTGTTTTGCTTATCATAGTCTTATAAGTTTTACAGTGCATCTGGATAATAGGTTATGAAATATAAATTAAATATAAAACAATTTTCTTCACATGAAAAAGGCCAAGCAGAAATAAATTTGACATAACTAGGTAATTTCTACATTTTACAATTCTACATATTTTCATGCCTTAAGGATATACTTTAGTTGTCAAGAGAAATATATTTTTTGTGCCACGAAAGAAAACTAGTATGCTGCAAAATAAACTACAAAAATGAAAAAGAAAAACCTATTTTTTAATAGTATTTTGAAGTGTCTCTTAATTTAATTGCATCTATCTGCTACAGTTAAAAACCTAAAAAGAATAATAAAAGTTTTTTATTATTAATCCAGTACATATTTTTGAAGTAGAAATAAATTCCCAACTTGATTGACCTTTAAATTGCGAAATTCTATTTCAAATGATTTAACACAGTTTCATCAACGTCAAATCAAATGAAAAGGAAACTTGACCTTTCGAGCGGGATGTGTTTCATTTCAAATAAGGTTTTAATAACATTTTATCAAAGTTTCAATTGCCTTTCTAGTTTTTCTATTGGTAATACGAAAATAATATAAACATTACATACAAAAATTGATCGTGAAAAGGATGAATCTGTTCAAATTTAGTTAAATAAAACACTAAATCATCACAATACACCAAAACACTTTTACTTTTACACTGGACGCGCGTTTCGCTAACCATGTTAGCATCATCAGCAGGTGATTATAAACTAAAATACAATCTACAATTGGAGCGTTTATATACTCGCTCAGTGGGCACAGAGTGGGCGTGGCAAGATCTGTCAGAACCCACCGAGCGTAACAGTTATATTTCCGCCACTAGAGTAGTAGGAACAAAGAACTTGAAGGAATTGGACCGTTGTCCCTGTTCATACTATCTTTACATTTATTAATTCTGATGCATCTAATTGTCTGTAATTTTAAACTTGTTTAATTAATTTCAAGTTATTAAGATCTATACAATGTTATTTATCAACAATATGTTCGGCAACGCAAGATTTATCCGGTCTACCATATCTTATCTGAGCCAAATGTTCTTTAAATCTAGTTAATATTGATCTTCTAGTTTGTCCAACATATTTCTGATTACAATCTTTACAAGAAATTTCATAAATACTCGATCTTTCCAGTAGAGGTGTTTTATCCTTTGAATTACCTAATAATTGTTGTAATTTATTATTAGCACTATATATAAGTTTATAATTGACATTCTTAAAAATTCCTTTTAGACCACTGGATAACTGTCTATTAAACGGTATTGAAAAATAGTTTGACGTATCTTTCTCCACTTGAAAAGTCGAATTTTCAGAAGTCATTAACCTATACCTACGTTTTCTAATTATTTTATCAACTAGTGAAGGAGAATATCCATTACACTCAGCTACATTTCTAATGTAACCTCTTTCTATTTCATATCTTTCGTTGGAAAGTGGAAAACTAAGTAATCTATGAACTAAGAAATTTAAACTAGCCATTTTATGTTCAATACTATGATATGATTCATTAGGAATATATCTGCGTGTAGTGGTATTTTTCCTATAGATATCAAATTCCAGGCAATTATTAGTATTTATAATAACTAATACATCTAGAAATGGTAATCTGTCGTTGTTCTCAATTTCATGTGTAAATTTAATGAAAGGAAAACGATTATTTAACTTAGAAATAAAATTATCTATGGTGTCTGAATGTGTGTCAAAAACAGCAAAAATATCATAACCATACTCTTGTAAATAACAAAAACAGCAAAAATATCTAAACCATAGTGTAAAACAGCAAAAATATCTAAACCATACTCTTGGAAAATACTCAAACTGATTCTTAGACTCCACTTCAAACCTGCTCATGAATAAATTAGCCAAAAATGGAGACAATGGATTACCCATTGCTGTACCTTCCCGCTGTTCAAAAAAGTTGTTATTAAATTGAAAACAATTTTGTTTCATACATAACGATGTAAGCTCAATATATTCAATCACAGTTTTGTTGTCGAGACCATTTGCGTTCAGTAATTCCTTCAAGTAGCCTAAGGTATGTGGAATTGGAACACTTGGGAACAACGAAGACTTACTACTTTAGCAGATACTATAACAACCTATAAACAATCTATTTTTTCTTTTTTTTTAATTTGATGGTAACAAGTTATCCTAACTACTTAGCACCAGATCATAAACGTCTTATGTTAAACCATATGCTGCCTTTTTTACGACATTAGCGTATTTCAAAGATTTTAAAAAGCATCTTTTCTATTTCGCACCCGCGAGGAACTAATTTTCATGCACATAAATTTTAATAATTTGCGGTTATACCACAATATGCTGCAAATTTTCAGCTTTATGTGTTCTACTATCAGTTGCAGGCACGAAATATATTTTTGCTTTTTAATAGAAATATTTCAATCTCAACTTTTAACTTTTTAAATGTTTTACTTTCGTAATTTGCTTGTATATGATTGACAGTTTTCAATTATATGTGTTTAATTTCATTTAAAATTTAAATATTCTTTTTCGAGTACTGGAACTAACTTACTTTTTTATTTTTTTTAGATATTCTATAAAATTATTGTATAACTCTAGAATAAATAAAACTGAGAAACGATTAAATTGAAACTTAAGAAAAAACTTTCTTTTTAGAATAACAACAATGAAATATAAATACTGAAGAAATTACAAAAATAAAAATCAAAGAATTATATATTATACGTCAAATATTACAAATAAATATGTCCGCTCAACAAAACGAACTCGACAAAGAAACAAAGGACAATCAATTGGCCGGCAAAATGAAAGAAATGTGCTACATTTTTAATACTTTCTCCGATCATTCGCTAGAATGGCTCTATCAGAGTTTCAGCGTCAAGCAAAAACGGGCTGGATTAAAGTGCTTTGTGATAACGGCGATACTATTTGATATTTATATGCTCGTGGTAAGTAGAATTTTTGTATCTTTTTTCCCATCACCGCAACCTTGCAGATCTATTGTGTCTTCCTCATTACGAGTTATAACTCATCATTCAGTCTCAGGGCTATAACAAAACCCAGTATCTAAAACGGTTTTACAGAGGGTACTTCTCCATCTTCGATATTAGTCGTACAAAATTTATGGAATAAATAGTTCTAGTCTCGGCGCACTCAGTGTGCGGATTAGAGGTCGCAGTGTTTCCTGCAAAAGACGGCCCCTTTTTATTGAAAAAAAAAATCCCTGTGACACTGTGATATTATTGATTGAAATGTTTTAGATATTTAGTACTTCATTTGAATTTATAGTACTTCATAAAAAATAGTACTTCATGAAATTTGTTTTATTTAGCCTAAACTTCAGACCTACTTCAAGTACTTGCATCTTTATGTATTCTTATCAATATGGGCATTCTCAAGTACGTACCTTAATACATTAATGTTAGTATATTTGCTTTTTTTATTACAAAAAATTAATCTTCTTAGAAGTGAAATATTAAAGAAATCTATAACTTTTATACTTTATTCCCCGCTTTGGGATGATACAAAAGCGAAAGCTGAAAAGGCAGACTCGTTTTTTGTAAATGAAAAAGGTACGAAACTCTGTAGCAAAAAATTAGGAGGGGTTTTCCAGTGGAATGATTTATAAGAGACGGTGTTAGAATTTTTGACGGTTTGAAAATTCCACTCTGGATTTCGGTTTTGACTTAGCTTTATAATTTATTTACCAATTCAGTTTTAATAATTACATGTTTAGAGAGCTTTAGAGTCACCTGAAGCATGAAACAGACGTGGATTATTAATTTTTAAGATCACGTAAAATTCTTCAAAAAAAAGGTCTGAAAACATCTATTTTGTATTAAAACCAAAGCATTCAAGCCTTAATCCTTTGTATATCCTAAAAGTCTGTGAAATTTCCTATAAATACTAAAATTTTGATAATTTTATCGCTATGTTCTATATTCTTCTGAACAGCAAAAATGAGCAATAGGACTTTTATACTTTATACAAGTTACAGATTTTAGTGTCACAGATTGGTCACAGCTACCGCTAGATGGCATAGAGCGTCTAGCACTCTTGTCATAGTAGTACTTATTGTACTCAAATGCTATTCTCTGCTTTCTTTGGTCAGATCGAGGGTTACAGCAAAGTCGGCCTGACGATGGAGAAAAATCTCCGAAACCGGTCGTCGAATGGCTGTTCCCTTCGGTCTGATGAACTTAATGCAGAGAATAAGCATATATGTAAGGTTTTTTGACCCCTTTTTCCGCTACTCGTATTTTGTTTATTTATATATACCCTACCTAAGCCTCCTTAGCTCCATCTACGGTAACGTGGATGAAGCAAGCATGTTTGTCCAGTAGGCCGCTGGTTTTAATTTTGGCGGTACGATCTGTGATTGTCACAGCTGCCGCTAGATGGCGTAGAGCGTCTAGCACTCTCGCCATAGTAGTACGTTTTTTACTCAAATGCTATTCTCTGCTTTTCGTTGGTCAGATCGAGGGTTACAGCAAAGTCGGCCTGACGATGGAGATAAATCTCCGAAACCGGTCGTCGAATGGCTGTTCCCTTCGGTCTGATGAACTTAATGCAGAGAATAAGCAATATGTAGGGTTTTGGCCCCTTTTCCGGCATACTCGTATTTTGCTTATTTATTATATATACCCTACCTGTGTTCTTTATTCATCTACGGTAACGTGGATGAAGCAAGCATGTTTGTCCAGTGCAGGGCCGCTGGTTTCCACTTTGGCCGTATCGATCTGTGATTGTCACAGTTACCGCTAGATGGCGTAGGAGCGTCTAGCACTTTGCCATAGTAGTACTTACTGTAATTCCGCCAAAACGATATTCTCTCTGCTTTTGGTCAGATCGAGGTTACAGCAAAGTCGGCCTGACGATGGAGAAAAATCTCCGAAACCGGTCGTCGAATGGCTGTTCCCTTCGGTCTGATGAACTTAATGCAGAGAATAAGCATATATGTAGGGTTTTTTGGCCCCTTTTTCCGGTACTCGTATTTTTGCTTATTTATTATATATACCCTACCTAAGCCTTCTTAGCTCCATCTACGGTAACGTGGATGAAGCAAGCATGTTTGTCCAGTAGGCCGCTGGTTTTAGTTTTGGCGGTACGATCTGTGATTGTCACAGCTACCGCTAGATGGCGTAGAGCGTCTAGCACTCTTGCTATAGTAGTACTTATTGTACTCAAATGATATTCTCTGCTTTCGTTGGCCAGATCGAGCAAATTAAAAAAATTACAGCAAAGTCGGCCTGACGATGGAGAAAAGTCTCCGAAACCGGTCGTCGAATGGCTGTTCCCTTCGGTCTGATGAACTTAATGCAGAGAATAAGCATATATGTAGGGTTTTTTGGCCCCTTTTTCCGCTACTCGTATTTTTGTTTATTTATTTAAGATATTTAACAATTCCATTTTCTCTAGTTGAGTATATAGTAATCAATAAAGATCCTTAAAGATGGCTTTTAATCCTCTACCCTTGAAGGAATAATAATAGGAGTAGGGTAAAACGATTTTAAATTATAGGTATCTCTTCTATTAGCTCTTAAGCCTTCCTCCCAACACTATCAATTACATAAAGTATATTTACGTAACGATCCCTTAATAATCTGTAATTATAATTAAAATTAAATAGAATTTAATTTATACACCTAATTTTAAGCAGTTGACTTTGTTATGATTTTATTAATATGTAATTTTTTAAAAACCCTTAGAATCCCTTAAATCGATATAAAGTTCAAGAACCTGGAAGATTCCATCTTGGAATTGGAATCCTCAAACAGTCTAAGACACTCTATTGTCACAGGTTTTTTAACAGGACACTGTCTCCTAAATGAACAGCTCAGTAGATTGAATTCTGTGGGGAAAATGAGGAAACACTAGAACACCTTCTTACTGCGTGCGCCGAGACGACAACTATTGGTGCCATAAACTTTGGTACCACTAATATTAGAGATCGAGAACTAACCTCTGTAAAACCGTCTCAGATCTTTATTCAAAGCCTTAAAACTGCATGACGAGTTATAACTGAAGAAGGGGTGACACAGTAGATCTGTAACTTTTATATTTCTCCAATTTTTTCAATATCTTTTTCCCGAAAAAAATTACGTGATATTTGCCGAAACCTTTGTTGTTTAGTGTTAAGTAAGTAAAAAATAGTTCTGTCTTTTTTAATTATATTATTATTACAGAAAATATATTTTATGCCAGCACGATTAAAAGTTACCTTTCACAGACAAGTTCAATATTACCTCTATAACACACTATAATCTATTTCCCGTCCGTTCATAAACTTCACTTATTAATATCAATAACCGGTCAATTTAGTTACAGGTCGGTATTTCCGATAACGACAGCGATGTTGCAAACTATGCAACACGCTGCCTCTCTGATGGAATCTCTATTTACTTAAACCGATTTTCTCTGTGGTTTGCTTGAGGTAGCATTGCTCTAGACCAGAGATATAGAGCTGCCAGAATGAGCTTCAACGAGTGTGCATCCAAAGTTGAAAAAACTGAAAATTGTGCATTTCAGTAGAAATATTTTTGTGATTTTCTGTTAAGAAAAGTAAATAAACAAAGAATACTAAATAAACAAATGTATTTTACATAACTGATTTAAGCTAAAGGAAAGACCTAAACCTATAGGCTTGGTGCATTCTCCTCCGGTGCTGCCACCGTCGGAGAATATTGTAAACAACTAGTATATACAAATACACGGGTTTAAATAGCAAGTATAAAAAATATTATTTAATTATTTTAAAAGTTTTAGGAAGTAGAATTTGTGAAAATTCTAAAAATAAAAAAGTAAATATTTTGATATCTTCAGAAGGTCTAAATTGTATTATAATTTATTATTCCAGCTAAAAAAACTTTTTAGATGAGTTCAACTACGTTCAAATACGTAGCGAGCATAGTTTTAATCACCGGTTTTCCTAGTAGGGCATAATTGGGGTTATTACGCCATCTAGCGGCAGCTGTGACAATCACAGACCGTACTGCCGTTTTGGCCCCTTTTTTCGCTTCTCGTATTTTGTTTACTTATATATACCCTACCAAAGCCTTCTTAGCTCCATCTACGGTAACGTGGATGAAGCAAGCATTTTTGTCCAGTAGGCCGCTGGTTTTAATTTTGGCGGTACGATCTGTGATTGTCACAGCTGTCGCTAGATGGCGTAGAGCTTCTAGCACTCGCCATAGCAGTACGTTTTGTACTCAAATGCTATTCTCTGCTTTTCGTTGGTCCGATCAGAGCATGGCTGGGAAACTTAAATGGAAATGACAGTTCATTAAAAATAGTTTTTCCTCCAAGATGCAGAGGCGCAAAATATTAAAACTGTCAATATTAACTTTCTTACCAAATGTCCAATATCAAAACTGTTAATAAAATTTGATTTTTAACTGTCACTCAGAGACGCTTTTGTTGTGATTTTTACGGTTTGATTTCGTTTTGATTTGTCAGTATTGTAATATGCTTTTTATAACTACTAGCGGGTAAATGAATTTCTAGATATATTACGAATTTTTTTGGAACTTTAGTTTCCGAGATATAAATTTTGATCCGCGGTAGCACAAATAAACACTTGCTTTAACTCCTGTTCTTCATTAATCAACACACATCAGGCTTTTTGTGTTTTTGTGGGAATACGCCACCCATGTGTTTCAAAATTATTAATAACTCTTGACACACTAGGTAAAGATGGAATTGGCCTGTTTACAAAAGTTTGTGGAAAAATTGTTTGTATATCCCGATAAGACTTATTTTGGAAATACCATTTTACAATTTGAATTTTCTCACGAACTTCGTAAACATCCATTATTTTACTTAAAAAATAAATTTTACACGAGAACTGTCGCAAGAATATATGTATTCGTTTTGGCTATTAAAACACGAATAAATACAAATTCTGAAACATTCTTATTACATATCTACCTATTTTTATTTTATCGCATTT